CAGGGATTCCTAATGTATTTAACTGCTAAATATGGATTCAGCTGCTCTTTTGAAATCGAATTATTATTAATTAAAGAAAAAAATTTCACTGTTAATTTCTGAGTGTGCCCTTTGGATATCAAAATGATCCTGTTTTTCATATCTGACCTATCAATATATTAAGTTACATTAGCATAATTAAATTTTAATGAAAAACAAGTTATACATTCAGAATAGTACTTAAAAGTGTATTTTTTTAACTGCTGAATATATTTTATTCTTTTTTTAACTTTATTTTTGATGACGTTTACATAGTAGGGTGGGAAACTTGAGGATTGGGGAAAGTGGATGAGGAGCACTATTTTCACACTTTCCTTAACTTTTTCCTGTATCTGGGGGGAAGGTGGAAAAGCCACCCAGGCTTCCAACTGGGGAAGGGGAGGGGCCATTCAGTGTCATCCCTAGTCCCAGCACTTGCCAGTTGATGTTGCAGCAAAGTCCGACCAGCCTGCCCTTACCCTACACCAGTGAATACATTCAGCCCAACCTGGCTCTCCTCCTAACCTAGATCGCGTGTAGGCCAACGCTGCAGCCCTGTGCAGCCTGGTCTCTCCCTGGTCCCAGCTCTCATGCTCACCGCAGGAGCAGTGGCTCATCAGGGGAGTTCCACATCTTCCCTACTGAGCTCGACCTCCACACCCCACTCCCACCCAAGTCTCACATGTGCTGGCGGATGCTGTTTCTGTTGCCATGCTTTCCTTTTCTGGGACAACATGGCTGCTGCTGCTGGTCTTAGACTGTTGCTTTTTGTGGCCCTTTTTTTTTTTAATTAATTAATTTTTACTGGAAAGACAGATTTACAGAAAGAAGGAGAGACAGAGGGAAAGCTCATCTACTGTTTCACTGCCCAAGTGGTCGCAATGGCTGGAGCTGAGCTGATCTGAAGCCAGGAGCCAGGAGCTTCTTCCAAATCTCTGACATGGGTGCAGGGTCCCAAGGCTTTGGGTTGTCCTTGACTGCTTTCCCAGACCACCAGCAGGGAGCTGGGTGGGAAGTGGAGCAGCTGAGACAGGCACTGGCGCCCATATGGGATTCTGGGCGCATGCAAGGTGGATTCAGGCTCTGCCTTTCTTGTTTCATTGACTCAGTATATTGTCATGTATCTGAGAGCATCTGCTTTCGTCCTGGTGACCTCTGCTCTCTGTACAGAGCCTGTTTTTCATGAGTGACTTTTTCTGATTGCTTTGTGTTTTTCTTCTGTGTTAGAAACTTGCCTGGACATCTGGTGATCTTTGCTCACTGGGTGAGGCTGAGGGTAAGAGGTGGCCAGGGGCTCAGGGCTTGTCATGGCTGTAATCTGCCACTGTGCTTAATGTAGCTGGGATGTTTTTGCAGACTTTCAGTCTCTCTTTGTGGGCTGGTGAGATGCCCCGGAGCAGAATCTTGCAGTGTCCAGCTTGGAGAGCAGTGGTCCTGCTCCCACCGCTTTGAAAGCCCTGGCTTGGGGAGAAGCTCAGCTTCCCTGCCTTTAGTATTTCCTATCACCTGGCGCTTTCATCCTCTGGTTTTCTGCATGCTTTCTCTGCTGTGTTGTCCCGTCCGGGCTGGCACATGGGGAAAGACCACTCCCAGGGGTCTGGAATTAGGGAAGAAGTCCAGAAGTTAACTTGCATTTCATCTTGGTCCTTGAAGACAACACCACGTGAACGGACCTGCTTTTACCTGAGGGACTGCCTGCCATCCCGTGTTGAACATTCTGTCGCTGCTCTTCTTCCTGGTCTCGCCATCCTGGCAGGTCTGTCTCTTCATTTCACAATCTCTTTCCTGAAGTTTTAGTGGCACGTTGGGCAGGAGAGAAATGAGATGCATGCATTCAATCGTCATCTGAACTCATAACCCCCACTTCCCTTTTCAATATAGTTTTGAAAAGATGATTCCTGGGAATAACCCCATTTAGTCACGCAGGATTGCTATTTTCATGTCCTGGGGTATGTTTATTTCTGTATTTCCATTTAAAAGTCTTTAAGTGAACATGATTAGCAGGAAATGAGCCTTTCCACAGGGAAGATTCAAAGCGAATGTCTCCAGTGGGATAGCTTTTATTAAGCATAGGAGAAAAAAACAGAGACGAACTCCCAGAATACAGCCTCGCTGCCGCAGCCCCGTGAGAGTGGGGTATGTGGCCCTTCCGCAACCCTGAAGGCGCACCAGGGATTATCCTGTACAGGGTTTTCTTTAGGGGCGCCGTGGGTGGACGGAAGTGATCCTACACTCACTGCTGGGATTGTAGGGTGGGGAAGCCAGGCCTGAATGCGCCCTTCGGAGAGGCAACCCACTGCTCTCCCAAGGCCTCAGAACCTGGTGCAGCTATTCACTTTTTCAAATAGTCACTGAGCATGTGCGCGGGCAAAGCGCGCGGCTCGCGGGAACCGCGCCAGAGGCGCCTCTGGTCCTCCAAGCAGCGCCCCTTCCTTACAGGGCAGGAGTGAGGCGGGAGGGGCGGCAATGGGACCCAGGATCCCACGCAGGGCCGAGACGTGTGTCGCAGCGATTTCCCTCTCTGCAGCTTGTGTGATGAGGAATGAACAAGGAGGCTGTTGAGCCCACCACCACGTGCTTGGCACAGGGTAGGGTAGCTGCGTGGATTTCCAGAGCAAAGCTTTTAAACGGTGCCAGGAGCCTTCGTGTTTTGTGTTCTGATATTTGAAACACTAGCTTTGGGGCAGAAAGCATGAAGGAATTTGTGACTCAAAGCAACGCAGCGCGGCGTGCGGGGTGGGGTTGGGGGAAGCACTCTCGCACGACGGCCAGGCATCGTGCTCTCTGTTTCTGCTTTCCTCATTCCCTCACATTGTGTTGCAAACAAACTGTCTTTCACCTCTCGCAGGCAGCTGAGCTCACCACTGCTTCTCTGTGCCTCTGTACGGCTGGGGAAAACCGCTGAGTGGGTCAAGAGGGCAGACAGAGAGGCTGGGCTGAATGCCCTGCTAAGCTGTGCTGTCTTGGGGCATGGTTGTTTATTGGGTCTTAATTTACCCATCTGTGAAATGGGGACACACAGGGCTATGGGGAGGACCAATGTGACAACTAACGTAGAAGCTCCTGCTGTGTTTCTACTCATGATAGGAGCTTTCACCGAGGGCTCTTGTTGCCATGGGTGCCAGGCTGGCACAGGCTGTATGTGTGCGCTTGTACATGCGTGTGTGTATATCATGCATGGAGCTACTTATGTCCTGAGGAAGACATATGGGTGCACATGCGTGTGTATATGGTGCTGTGATGCGGGCATATATCTTGGGGAGGCACGCATGTGTGTGCACGAGGATACGTGCTCGCTCTGGCAAGGGTGTGCTTCCCGGAGAAGGGGCGCTGTGCATGGTTCCCGGGGTTGCCCCGGGAGAACGCTAGCGCCCGCGACAGCGCGGGGTGACTGAGTGCGCGTGCAGCTGCTGCCACCTCCCCGCCCCAGGCGCTCCGTGCGCCCGCCTGGCCCGGGTGTGGGGCGGCCCGCGGGCGGGGTGGGAGGAGGAAGAGGAGGAGGAGGAGGGTGGAGGAGGGAGGGCGCGGGAGCGAGCAGGCGAGGGAGCTCGGCAGGGGAGGGAGGGCGGTGAGAGCGCGGCTGCCGCGGAGCCCGGCGCGGGCGGCTTCGCCGGGGAGCCAGGCTCGGAGCCAGGAGGCGGCACCGCGGCGTGGTGGCAGTGCGGGGCGCGGGGCGGCCGCCTGGTGAGAGCGCTGCGGGCCGCGGGGCAGGGTGGGTGGGGGCGGATCGGCCACGCCGCCGCGCCAGGACGAGGCGAGCGGGGCTCCATCTCCGGGGCGGGCGCTGGGAGCAGAGAGAGCCGGCGAGGCTGCGCGCAGCCTTACTCAGGTGGGTGTCGCCCGCCCTTCTCGGGGGACTTGGCTGAGGAGCCCCAGCGGGCTGAGGGTGTGCGTGTGTGCCCGCGAGGGGTGTGGATGTGTGTGCGTGCGTGTGCTGTGCGTCTCCCCAGAATGTGTGCATATGTGTGTGTAGGGGTGTGTGTGTCTGGTTGAGCAGAGGAGGACCAGCACAGTGGGGTCAGAGCCTGTGGAGCAGGGTGGGGGTTCAGCGGGATGGACTCTGAGTGCAAGGGGGTGTGAAGGGTGAGTGGGTGAGTGTGTCACCGGTGCTAGGTGTGGCTGCGTGTGTGATGTCAGGGTACTGGGTGCACGTGGGCCCCAACTAAGCCTCCCTCCCCTTTCCCACGAGCTGTGCCCATGGGAGGGTGTGCTCTGGGGCCAGAGATGGTGAGAGGCTTCCCCAGCTGCCAGCCCCTCTAGCCTGCCCGCCCTTCCCTCAACCCGGGACAGGAATGGAGAACCAGAAATTGCCAAGTCTACCCCACCCCATGCGCCCCGATACTTCTAGGGTCCTGGGGAAAGGAGCTAGCAAACCCAGGAAAGAGAGGTAAAGGGGAGGGGCTGAAGGAAGGGGGTGTCTGCTAGTCCAAGCCCCATTTCTCTGGGTAGGGACTGGGTGGCCTTGCCGACTCTGTCACATCATCCAGGCCTGTGACGGCCAGTGGGCTCACACAGGAGTGTTTGCTGGCTCATGGCTCTGTAACCAGAGGGTACTGGGCATACAGTGGGCAGGAGAGAAGGCTGGGCAGAATGGGAAGGAGGTGGGCAGGAGGAGGAAGTGGCTAGAGTCTGCAAGCCAGAGTCCACCTTCCCTCTTTACCTGGTGGCCCGCAGCCCCCAGCTCCCCACCTCCCGTAATTGCTCGTGGACTTAGGGGACAGCTGCACAGGGAAAGGGGGTTTGTGCAGAGGCCTGGAAGTGCAGGAGGGAGCCTGTCCCCTGGGGCAGAACCCTTGGCATCCTATGCCCAGCGCCTGCTTGTGGGCCAGCAGCAGTCATGTATGGGTGTAGGGTGTTGGGAAGAGGGAGGGCGGCTGTAGTCTGAGCTCACTGGGGGGTCTCTCCTCCCCATCCAGGACACTGGTGCCCAGGAGGGGCTGAAGACCTGCGCCCACCCAGGCTGCCCCAGGCCAGGCAGGGCCATGGCAGGGCGTGGCTGTCTGGGCCTGGGACTGTTCCACTGGGTCCTGCTTGCCATGCCCGTGGGCCCCCAGCCCGCTTGCTCATCTGTGCCTGCGGCTCTTCCCACTACTCTGACCCCACCGCCACAGAGTGAGGCCGCCATGCTGTCCCTCAACCTGGGACTAAACTTCAAATTCCATCTTCGGGGACCTGCTGCTGTCTGGGGCAGTCCGGTCACAGAGAGCCAGCCTCTCTCTCCTGGGCTGGACCAGGAGCCAGGAGATGAGATAGCCGGTGGGCAGAGGACTGATCTGCTTTGGGATCTGCTGGGGGGCTCCCGTGGGAACTCCCCTTCAGAGTGGGGCTCTGCTGAAGGCAGCTCTACACCCTGGGCCTCCTCTCTGCCTGCGAAATCCACACCCCCTGTGTCTGGGTCCACGGACCGGCACATGGCTCCCTACCAGCCCAGGAAGGGCACTGTGACTTGGGACACCGCCCTGACGGCTGTGGCGCCTCCGTCCAGCGCTCCCAGGCCCCACCAGAGTGAGCTGGAGTTGAAGTTCGATGTGGCGCTGAGAGCAGGGGCGGCCCCCACGCTGGGGCACCGGACGCTGCCTCTACTGCCCAGCCTGCGGGCCAGCTTGGCAGAGATCGCTGGGCGCCTGGGGCCCTTTGGTGAGTACCTGTCTTGCTGGGTTCCCCCTGCCAGGTAAGAGGTAGTTCCAACATGGGCTCCTTTTGCAGGGTTCTTTGGTACCACATTGTCTCCGCTCCGGAATTTCTCTGGCTCCAGCGCTCTGGGGGCCACCACGTCCTCAAGCCCTGCCCCCAGTTCAGGTGAGTACTGATTGCCTCGCAGAGAAGCGGAGAGCTCAGAGAGCGTTTTGGGGAGATCTCGGAATGCTGGGGCCTCACTGGCACCTCCCTCTTTTTTTTTTTTTTTTTTTTTTTTTGGTTGTTGGTCTCAGGGGAAGCCTGTGTAACTTCTCCGGCATAGGAGCTGCTTCTCCCTAGGGAAGGTTTCTCTGCTTCTACACGTGTCGCTTAGCTCACAGTGCACCTGCTCAGGAGACAACAATTCCTGGGACAGTGACCTGTGCAGGAAACACAGGACCTTCCCCCAAGCGTCAGAGTCCAAAGCTGGTGGGGAGGTGGCCCTTGACCCCTGTGTGCTCTGTCTTCAGGGTTCTTTGGCACCACTCTGACCCCATCCTCACCGCCTCGGGAGAGGGAGCTCCCGAGCCCAGGCTTGCTGGACATGGCCACTTCCCTAGCTTCTGCCTCAGTGGCAACCACACCACCAGGTAGGTATCGCACCCATTGGAGTCTGACAGCTCTAAATGAGCACTTACTATATGCTAGTCACTCCTCAGTGTTTTCTGGAACTCTCACGCTTCCTGGCCATAAACCATCATACTCTTCCTCCTCCTTGCGGAGACTGCCTCATTCCTCTGGGAACCAGAGTGCTGCTGGGGAAGGTCCCACACAGGGTTAAGTAAGTAGCGCTGCTTTGCAGTCACAGGCAGAGCAGACACAGGAACTCCTTCATGATTTCCAGTCTCTGGTAACTCCACCCTCCACTCCAGGCCGCCTGGCCCCACTCCCCACCTCCACCCCGGCCTCGGGGCTCCTGCACTGTCTGATCTGACCTGACATGCTGTCAGTGTAGATAGAGCCAGAGCCCTTATCGGAAAGACATGGAAGTGGGACCTGGAACAGACAGCCGCCACCTTTGTGCAAGGGTCTGTTGAGAACCTGTCATAGACAGGGTGGGGAGAGCCTGCCGACTCTGCCATCTAGAGACCTTGGCTTTGAATCCCAATTCTTTTATTACTGACTGGGTGTCCGTGATTGCGGGACCTCTCTGAGCTCCCTTATCTCTGGGGTTTCATAATATTACTCACTATGCTGAGTCTAAGTAAAGCTTCCATGGCATGAGGCTGAGCACAAAGTAAAAGCTGGTAAATAATAGTGGTCAACATTGCCTCTCTCCCCAGCTGCACCCCAAATATACTGCTGCACCCTACCTTGTAGCCATCTGACCCAGGACACAGAGAATCTGCCTGGTAGAGTGCATGGGTGTGCAGGGAGAGGCTCTGTCAGGCCAAGAAGGCCTCCCAGGCTCAGCTTGCTTTACAAAGGGTTTTACTCTAGCTGCAAACCTTTCAGCCCCTCCACATCAGGCCCTGTGGTGGAATCAGCTGGTCCCCAGCTTCTTCCAGCTCCAGACTTAACGCAGCTCTTGACTCTCCAGCTCACCCCAATACTGGGTCACTGCGCACACACACACCACTCCCTACCACCAGTGGGTGCGTGACAAGAGTCTCCATCCCCGTTTGGCCCAGGGGACAGCAGGGCAGGATCTGCTGGGCTGGGGGCAGGCTCTATGTCTTTGGGGGTGGGGTGAGGGAGGATGCTGGCTGGCACTCTGTTGGCTTTGGTGACAGTGCCGGCCAGGCAGGTTCAATGAGTCTGGACAGTATCAGGCAGCCCAGCTCCCACAGCCTGGCAGCCCCGCCCTCACTCCCCCTCCTCGCTGGTGGCTGCAGGAACCCAACCTCTTCCTGGCTGTTGTTCATCTTGGATAAATCCCAGAGGGGTTCCGGTTTCCTGGAGAGACCTCACTCCACCAGGGGAAGACGAGAGAGAAGAGGTGGGGGAAGGAGGGCGCTCAGGAGCCAGAGCTTGGAGCACTGTCCAGTTGTTGGGAACCAAAGAGAGTATTTGGCTTCCTATTCTAACCTGGCTCATGTTCAACACCTAGGGCTTCCTTGTGTTAGGTCCTCCCCACTTGACCTGCTGTTCAGGGCACCAGTTATGAGGGCATGTCTCCCCCTGGGTGATACCTACTGCCCTTCCTTCCCTGAGTGTTCACTCCACTCCCCAACCACCGTGACCAGCTTCTGTTCTGAGTGGCTGCCACCTGCGCCATCACACCTGTGAGATGGTTTGAATATCACCCTTCCAACAAGTACCAATCCTCTGTGATCCTGGCAGTGGGGGTGAGGAGAGGGCTGTTGGGACCAGGCCACACTGGTTTCAGCTCCCAGCATCCAGAGTGGAGCTGGGACAGGCCAGCTCTTTGATCTGGGCGGCTGGTGGATAATCAGGCCTGACTGTTCCATGAATCTCGCTGGCCCCTCCCCAGCCAGTTCCTGCCTTACCAATTACTCACACTGACATCTCCATCTCTCCCCCGGCCCCTAAGGTCAGGAGGGGCCACAGGCCAGGCTGGGACTATCCCCTAGAGGAGCTGACCTGCTCAGAGAGGCAAACCTGGGAAAGAGGATCAGGAAATCACAGTGTGAAAAGCTCTTTTTGGGGAAACTGCAAATGTGAGATCTTCCGAGGCAACAAGCTGGTTTTCACAGCCTGGTTCCCACCACACCTGGCCCATGCTACGCTCCCTCATTAGAACTCCTTGCTCGACAGATGTGCTCTTCCTTAACTTTCCCTGTTTTCTGGTTTCTCTTTATTTTCCTGGAATCCTGAGAGTGTTGACATTTTTTCTAGTGTTTGGGGGGACAGAGAAGAGAAATGGCGCCTTGGTAAGAAGGGAAGAGGGTGAGTGGAACTGACTTCTGAGAGTTGTACCTGTTGGGCAGGTGAGCAAGGGGCAGGGGTCAGTGATGGGGAGTGGGAGCGGCAGGCTGGACCAGGGTCTGTGTGCAGCTTTGCGGAGTCCAAGCAGGCTCACCCACTTTACACAGAAGTGGCTAGGATTAAAGAGACCTGAGGGGCCAGAGAGTAAGGGGTAAGGAAGGGCATGATTGGATCCTGCTGATGTTCAGCCCCTGACCAGCAAGCTGTCCACACCCACTGAACCGCACTGCATTCAGTGGTGGGCGTCTTTAGCACTGCCCAGGCGGATAGGCCATCGGAATGGTGTGCCCAACCATGGTTGTAAGCAAGTCTGGGTTACACTAAGCCCTTAATTCATTCTTTGAGGTCAGTAGCGGTCACTGCCTGACAGCAGGAAATGCTGATGGATTGGAGATGAACATTAGCTGGCAGCATGGTTCCAGCAACAATCAGACAGATGCTGGATGGTTCCATGCTGCCCTAAGAGCTCACATTCCCACTTTTCTTCTCTTACAAGTTCCATCTCATGGAAGTGCTTCTTCCCTATTTCAGATCTGGGCAGTGTGATGGAACAGGGGCCAGGATGCCCTTGGCTGGCGGCGAGGAGCTGTGTGCCCTGAAGCCTGAGCTGCTCCTTCCTGGCCCTCTGCTGCTGCCCAGTCCCATCCTCCCCTCCCTTCCAGAGTCTTCACTCTTTTGTCATTCTGAGGATGATTGCTTTTGTGTGTCCGAAGCCTGAGCTGGTACTGGGTGGGGGGAGGGTAGCAGTGCTCTGGGGGTCTTGGTGTGTGGTCCAGCGCAGGTGTGGCTGGAGCACAGCTGGGGCAGAAATTTGACCATCAGGAGGCCATCCCTGCTCAAGCCACAGCTGCCTCGGGTCCACCTCCCTTTCCTGTCCATGCTGGTGCTGTCCTTCCCCATCACCCTTTCTTCCCAGTCCTGCTGAGTCTCCTGGGGAGTGGGCAGGGAGAAGCCCAGCTTCTAGCATCTTCCCCAACTGCCTGGCTGTGGAAACAACTCTAGGATGAAACTTTTTTTTTTCTTTTTAAAGATTTGCTTTATTATTTAAAAAGGAGAACTGGGATGAGGGGTGGGGAGAGAACCTCCTTCTAGTGGTTCACTCCCCACATGGACACAACGACAAGGACTAGACCAGACTGAAGCTGGGAGCCAGGAGCTTCTTCCAGATCTCCCATGTGGGTTCAGGGCTCCAAGGACTCTGGTCATGTTCTGCTGCCTTCCCAGGTACGTTACCAAGGAGCTGGATTGGAAGTGGAACATCCCTGATCATGCATTCCTATGGGATTCTGCATCACAGGCGGTGACTGTTATGCCACAATGCCAGCCCCAGAATAATTCTAATTGGTGTCTCGCTCTGGGAGAGTACAACTAGGGATTTGTCTCACTTCTTTCACCAAAAGGATGTGGGAAGATGTTAGCAGATGGGGTGGTGTTTAACCCACCCCAGGGCCCCCAGCTCTTCCTCTCCGAGACTTCAAAGACAGTCTTGGAGAGGCAGGTACTCCCTCTCAGTGTCTCACCTTCTGTGGAATGGGTGTGGGGTGTCCAGTCAACATGGCATCTGCATTCAAAGATTTATAGCAATGATTTTTCCACTGAGGCAGCAAGGGGACCACAGCTGTGGGTGGGCTCAAGTAGCGGGTAGCAGGCAAGTGGGTCAGCGAATAAAGAGGAAATGTGTGCTCAGAGTGCACAGCCTATCAGCATTTTAGGGTTCCTCCTGCTGCGTGTGTGCTCATGTGCACTGGCCAGGGACATGGGTTGGGAGCAGCTGAAAAAGGGCAGGTGCACATAGTCCCAGGGTGGGGGCTGGATGCAGAACAAGGCCTTGTGGAGAGTTTTGGGGGTGCTGAAAAGGGGTCAGAGCTGGATTCTAGCTATGGCTCTGCCAGCGTGTGACCTTGGGCAAGTCACTTTGCAGGGTTTCAGTATGGTCACCAGGCCAAACGGGGACACCGACTCAGTGGCTGGCTGCTGGGTGCCAGAAATCATTTTAGGCCAAAGATTTGGATGTGAGTGAAGCGGACAAACTTGTTTGATCTCCTTAGGCTGCCCTTTCTGGTGATGGTGGGGATGGTGGTGGCCAAGGTGGGGCAGGCCCCAGTTCCTTGGCAGGTTGGGGAGGCCCTGGAGGTCTCAAGAACAATTTCAGGGAAAGCACAGTGAAGCAAGCCGGGGGTGGAGAGAAGGAGGGGAGGAAGGCGTGTGGGGGTGGAGGATAGAGCTGAGATCTCCCCTCCCAGTCTCAAGTGGGGGGAGGGGATGTGACATTGGCCAGGGTTCCTGGAAGACACTCTGACTGGGAGGTCAAGGGGGCTGCGGGGACTCAATCAAGCATTCTCTACCCACAGATCCCACCGCCCCAACCTCGGTTGCCGCGACCGACGTCTCTGCCAGCAGCCTGGGGAGTGCTTCGCTGCAGCCAGAATGCGCCCCGGAGTCCTGTGGCCTGGGAAAACTGCCTGACCGCAGCGAGCAGCCCCCTGCCGCCCCGCTGCCTCTCTTCTTGCTGACCCTGGAGGCCAACTGGGCCGAGGCCAGGGCTCGCTGGGGGCTGGCCTGGGAGGCCCACGTGTACGGGGTCGGCGCGCTCTTCGGTCTGGTGGTGGTGCTCGCATTGCTGGCCCTGGTCCTCCTGCCTTGGCGCTGCCCGCCTGGCGCCCCCTGCCTGGCGCTACTGGACTTGCTGCTGCTCTTGGCCGGGGCGACCCGCGCTTTCCCGCTCTTCTATGATGCCTACGGGCACCGCGAGCGGCTACCCGCGCTCGCCTGGCTGCTACTACAGGACCTTCCGCTGCCGTGTCTGGCCGCCGGCTTGGGGCTGGCCTGCCTGCTGCTGGCCCGGCCGCGCCCGCCGCGGTGCCCGGCCGGCCTGGCCGCGCTGCTGCTCCTCGGGCTGGGCTTGGCAGCCGCTGCAGCTCTAGGAAGCGCCGCACACCGCCCGCTGCGGCCTCTGCGCCTCGCCTCTCGAGGGCTGCACGCCTTCCTCGCTGCGTCCTTGTCAGGGCTCCTGCTGGCCCTCTCCTGCTGGCGGGGTAGGCGGCGGAGAGCCGGGGCGCCCCTGGGAGGTTCTGCTTTCAAGGGCGCCACGCCTCTCCCGCAGGTGCGCAGCCCTTTCGCCCCGCGGGAGTCCTGGCGGCGCGCGGCGCGCACAGCCCCAGTGGCCGGCACCTTCGGGTTGCTGAGCGGGGCTCTGCAGGGCTACGAGGTGCTGCACGCCCTGGGCTATGGCGGCCAGTCGGGCCTGGAGGGGCCCTGGTCTTGGTGGGCCTTCCAGCTAGGCCTGCGCCTGGGCGAGGTGGGCGTTGCGCTCCCGCTGGCGCTGCTGGGTCTCTACCCCGCGCTCTGCAATCCTCGAGTGCCACCTCGCTGCTGGGCCAAGCTCTTCCGTCTGTCCCCGAGCCACGCGGCTCCTCTGCTGCCCGGAGGTTGGATCTCGGGACCTCCGGACAAGGAGCCCCTGGGGAGCGCCATTGCGCGTGGCGAGGCGGAACTGCTGCAGTTGTGCGCCCTGGCGGGGCCAGGCCCTGATCTCCTACTCCAGGGTGGTGGCGGCGGCGGCTGCCGCGGCTTTGAGGACACCAACCCGGGCCCATCCCCGGCCTCCTCTCCCTGCAGCGACTCCACCGTAGATTTCCGCCCGCCGTCCCCCATCAATCTGCGACGCAGCATCGAGGAGGCCCTCTGCGGCGAGGCCCTTCTCGCCCCTAGCCTCTTCCAGGGCCCTGCCCTCGGGGACGCCCTGCCCGGATTTGGCCTCCATCGCGCTGCCTCGCTGGGAGCCACGGTCCGGAAGGGGCCTGTCGGCAAGTTGGAGGAGGATCCCGGCTCCCCGGCCGCCCGGGAGCTCCCCTCCCCCGGCGCCTGGCACCCTGGCAGCAGCTCGTCGGGCTCACTGTGCGGACTCTCGCGGGACAGCTCCTCCGTGCTCCTGTGCTCCTGCCCCGACAAGCCCCCTCGGTGCCCGTTGGCCTGTGTCCTCAGCCCCCCGCGGGCCTCGGGAAGCAGCCCTAGCCTCCCCGCCTCAGGCTCCTACCAGGCGCTGTCCCCACCCTCCTGTAACTCCCCGGAGCCCGCTCCGGAGCTGCCGGCTGAGGAGGCCTTGCTGCAGGAGCAGTTCCTGGATGCCTGCCGACAGATCGACGAGCTGAGTCTGGGCAGTGACACCATAGACCTGTAGCATCATAGATAAGCTCTTCCCCGGGGCCTCCCCGCTGGGCCTGAGACCTGCACACTGTTAGCTCTTGCCCAATCCTGTCTGGCACCAGATACCTCTCCTCACCTGCTGCCCCACCCGGGGCCCCTGGGCGGGGCAGCTCAGCAGCCAAGGTTGGTGCTGACAGGGAATTCAGTGCCATCTTCTCTGGAGCCCAGGGTGCAGGATGCCCTCCGCTGCAATGCCAGGCTGGCAGCCATCCCGCAGTCCTTGGCCTTCACCAGCAATAAAGCCCCCAAGGTGCTCCACTCCCGACCACCACTCGTTCCCTGCTCCGGTGCTGAGAGGGGCTGACCCCAGAAGCCCTGGGGACCCGCCTCAGGCCCAGGAATCCCACACCGGCCTGAGACTTCCAGTATTAGCCTCCCTGGGGACTGCTCCCCGCCAAAAGGGTGTGCAGTACCTCCCACCCACCCCCGCCCATCCAGGAGACTTGGTGGGAAGTGAGCTCGTTCAGAGTTAATTTATCAATAAAATATTTTCAGAGGAGAAAGTTCTGACCTTGGAAAAGTTTTAATGGGACAATAGCAGCAGTGACACCAATAGCATTGGCAGAGAACAGCTTTGTGTGTGTGTTGGGGGGGTGGTTGTGAGGAGTGCCGCTTCAGACTTCAGGAACCATCTACAGCATCTGGGTCCATGTCTGGGCAGAGGGAGGGTCCTAGGAGCAGTCCCTGGAACAGACTCTGGGTCTCTGGGGAGTGGCAGTATCTGTAAGTCCTAAGCGGAAATGCTGACATTCCCGAGGCTTCCAGTCCTGGTGGACAGCTGGCTAGAACCTAGGTGGTAGTAGGTGATACCCAGCTCCCCAGCCCCCTCCTGCCACACCCCCATAGTGGTAGTAGGTGATACCCAGCTCCCTAGCCAGCCTCCTGCCACACCCCCATGGTCTGGCATTCACAAGGAGGAAGTTATCTTTGTCTACCAATGGGGCATCTTCAGGGCTGGGCTCACATGCACCTGCTTCCCCTGCAGGGGATCAGCTCCTGCAGGTGCAAATCCTCCTTAGAGAAAGCCTGCTGCACCCACCACCTCCATCCTTTCGTCATTTGGCTAGAAGTTGTTTGCACAAAAACCAGGGCAATTTAGATGAGGTTTGACCATGGCACTTTGCCTGTGTTTTGCCAAGTGTCTTGTACATAACACAAACACCTGCAGGGGCATGAACACGAGACTTCAAGTGAAAAAACAGGAACACAAGTGGCTTTCCTTGCAACTCTACCCATCAGCTAGTGGGAATGAAGGCAGCTCGGGAGCCAAGAGGGAAGCAGCAGGCAGGCTGCAGCAGCCAGATCAGACCAGTCCGAGGCACCAGGGGACACACTCAAGCACTGTCCTACAGATGGAGATCTGTCTTGCCTGTGTAGAGTATCCAGGCCCTGGAGGAAGGAGAGTAGGCAGTGTTGGGAGGAGCAAGGGGGAAGACGGCTGCAGGCACATTGAGGGGTGGGGCTGGAGCCGCTCTGAATGTGGCTCTTCCATCACCTGGCTCAGCGGGCTCAGAAATTCTTGCTGCATCGTCATTCTGGGCTGAGACCCAGGGAACTGCCAGCCTTCTAATTACGGGCATTTCTCACTGGTGTCACAGCGGCTGGAGTGGCTCCCCCAGCGTTGGGGCTGCTTTATGGTGCACGAGCGGGGCCAGGCGCTCTGAGGAACTGCTCCCTTTTCACCACCCCTTCCATCTGCCTCTCACCTGCTCTGTTTACACTCAGCCTTCTTGGCCACCTCCTACTCACTCTGATCCTTGCCAGCTACTCTCTCACTCATTCCCACCAACCCCTCAGCCCCAGGGTCTTTGGCTTCACGTTCACACCTCCCAACAGAACAATCCGAGCTTCCTAATTCCCGCCTCCCCCACCCCTGCTGTCTCACACACACCCACACATCCTGCCTGGAAGCTCCAAAATGTGGCTATGGAATAATGGGGACAAGAAATATGTTGGAGTCCACCAACTCCAACACATTTTTAAAAACAGGATTTATTTACTTATTTGAAAATCAAAGTTACAGAGAGGGACACACACACACACACACACACACATATCCGTCCCCTAGTTCCCTGCTCCACATGGCTGCACCAGTCAGGGCTGGACCAGGCTGAAACCAGGACCCGAGTCTCCTATGTGGGTAGCAGGGGCCCAAGTGCTTGGACCATCTTCCACTGCTTTCCCTGGGCCATTGGCTGCAAAGTGGATCTGAAGTGAAGCAGGATACAAACCATCATCCATACGGAATACTGGCATTTCAGATAGCGGCACTTGCCTGTTAAGCCACGACACCAGCTCCAGACTTCACTGCTTGTATTTCCCTCAGCAAAAATGACCTCTACTCCCTGGCTTCAGAAAACGGCAGCCGTTCCTCTTACCTCCTTCTTGCTCCCCAGGAGTGCAGGCAGATCCTCACATGTGCATCCTCCCATGTCAAATCTCAGTGCTGTGGAGAGGAAAACAGACAAAATCATTTTCCTTCTTTCATTTGTTCATCCAGTCTCTTTATATAAATGTGATTGTGTGATTACCATGTGCTAGATGCCGGGGAGACAGGGACAAAGGACAGGGACTCCAGCCCCGAGTTTATGAACTGAAAGCCTTTTAGAAGAAGACAGACAGGAGACAACTAATGACACAGTCACAATCCCACGGATAATTTACTGCGATTTGAGAACAGAAGTGATGACACTAGAGGAAGTCTGGCTTGCAGAGGCAGGGGGAGAGTGGAGCTGGGAGGTTAGGGTCTGGTAGAGGCTGCCTTTGAAAAGCCTGGGGTGCTCTTACTACACCTCCCCACACTCCCAGGTTCCCGCACAGAGCTGATGGATGAGCGAGAAGCCAGCGGTTGATTTCCCCTCGAAGCCACGGTGCAGGGTACCAGCGCTCTTGCTGTTTAATAAAGACCACTGCCTGTGTCCCGGCTTGGACGGATGAGCAAATATTCCTGATTAAAGAACCGTGTGACCTCCTTGATATGAATGGATTCAGGGGCGGGGGATGCCGTTTGGGGAAGCAGATGGGGCAGCAGGTTGGATCTATGGGGAGGATGGAAAGGGTGAGCCCTGCTGTTGTCTTCCCCAAGGGGACAGAGTGTCACACTGTGGGTGACTGCTGCCCCCTGATGGTCACAGGGGCACAGTTGCATTTTGTCCTTTCAAGACCTGGGTGCAAGACATTTACAACCTAGCATTGGTAGGGGTGTCACAAAGGGATCTTGAGCCCACCTTCTCAGCGTTCTCTTCCCTCTGGCTTCTTGCATCCAGGGCTGGGAGGCTCTCCCCACATGAGGGCCTTAAGCTCATCATTTACATTTTGCGAATGGAATTTTGATTCCTAAGATGGGCTGGGGGATGGGTGGGAGGGAAGGAGAAAGAGAGAAGAAAGTGGATCCCAAACTCTATTTCTCTCTTTGTCCCAGATGTGCTTCTTTTCTTGAGCTACGTGTTTAAAGGTGACTTTGGAAGTGAGGGCAGTTGTGATGGCCCAAAAGGATAATCCTTTGCCTTGCAAGCAGGGACATTCCATATGGGTGCTAGTTCATGTTGCAGCTCCCTGCATATGGCCTAGGAAAGCAGCAGAGGACGGCCCAAAGCCTTGGGACCCTGCATCTGCATGGGACACCTGGAAGAAGCTCCTGGCTTTGAATCAGCTCAGCTCTGGGTTATTGAGGTCATTTGGGAAGCGAACCAACAAAAGATTTTTCTTTGTCCTCTTTCTACCTTTCAAAAAAAATAAATCTTATTTTAAAAAGTAGCCTGGCAGTGAAGACAAGTGGTAGGATAATAGGAAAGGCTATTCTTCCAATGGTCATATTCTGATTGTTTCCAAGTCTCTCGTTTGGGGCTGGTACTTTCTGTCTTTTCCACTCTATAAATCTGCCTTTCCAATAAAATAAACAATTATTTTTAAAGAAGATTTAAAAGTGACTTCAGCTGTTTTCTCTTTGAAGTGTGTATTACTTAGTTGGAGCTAGGGCTTCATAAAGCTGATGTCCCACATCCTCCTCTGCATCAATGCTGACTACTTCTTTGTCTATCCAAAGTGTGTCTAAGGCAGTTGCATCCGAGGTTGCCCCTTTTATACCTTCTGAATTGTCTGGCTACTCTGAGGATGTTATCACCCCTTAAAAGTAATGATGTGGGCCCAGCAAGATAGTCTAGCAGCTAAAGTCCTTGCCTTGAATGCACTGGAATCCTGTATGGGTATCAGTTCTAATCCCAGCAGCCCTGGTTCCCATCCAGCTCCCTGCTTGTGGCTTGGGAAAGCAGTCGAGGATGGCCCAAAGTCTTGGGACCTTGCACCCGTGCAGGAGACCCAGAAGCTCCAGGCTCCTGGCTTTGAATCAGCTAAGCTCTGGCTGTTGTGGCCGCTTGGGGAGTGAATCAATGGATGGAAGAGCTTCCTCTCTGTCTCTCCTCTCTGTATATCTGACTTTGCAATAAAAATAAATAAATCTTTTTTTTTTTAAAGTAATAATGTAAAAGGTGCTTTGGCTATTGCTTCTGGTGAGGTTGCCGTGCAGGGTACGGCAGTCTTGCCTACAGGGCAGCTCCTGAGCCCCATGGGATGGCCCTGGATCCTGCTGGCCCTGAATGGCAGATCTGTGTGATGAGTTGGCCTGAGGGGAGCTTGTCCAGAGCTGAGCTGATCTTGCGCCTCAGGGTGGAGCTGGGCTGTGTGTGAGCGTACAGCTGGTGCTACCTTTACTTTCAGTGTCTTCTGATATGATCATACACCATCATTTTGTGATTTGTTGATGGGCTTTTGTTTATTTGAAAGGCAGGGAGAGAGAATTTTCCATCTACTGATTCACTTGTTAAATGCCTGCAATAGCCAGGGCTGGGTCAGGTAGAAATCAAGAGTCATGAACTTAATCTAGGTCTCCCATGTGGGTGTCAGGGCTGTCTCCCAGGGTATGTTAGCGGTAAGCTGGGATCGGAAGCAGAGCCGCCACTTGAACCCAAACGATCCAACACAACAACACCGGCAAGCAAACAGCTACAAATACCCTGCTAATTTCTTTCTAAGATTTATTTATTTTTATTAGAAAGGAAGATTTCTAGAGAGGAGAGATACAGAGAGAAGGTTTTCTATCTGCTGGTTAACTCCCCAAATGGTTGCAATGGCAAGAGCTGAGCCGAGAGCGAAGAGTTTCTTCCAGGTCTCCCACAAGGGTGCAGGGTCCCAAGGACTTGGGCCATCCTTTGCTGCTTTTCCAGGCTATGCAGGGCACTGGGTCAGAAGCAGCACAGCCAGGACATGAACTGGTGTCCATATGGGATGCTGGGTTCCCAAGGCAGAGGATTAGACTATTGAGCCATGGCATCATCCCCAGTCTGGTACTCCTATTTTCTTTTTAAAAATGATTTATTTAATTTTTATTGAAAGGCAGATTTACAGAGAGACAGTGAGAAAAGATCTTCCATCTACTGGGTCACTCACCAAGTGGCCGTAACATCCAGAGCTGAGCTGATCTGAAGCCCGGAGCTGGGAGCTTCTTCTGGTCTTCCACATGGGGTGCAGGGGCCACCTCTGCTGCTTTCACAGGCCCCAAGCAGGAAGCTGCATGGGAAATGGAGGAGCCAGGACACAAATCAGTGCCCATATGGGATTCCAGTGTATGCATGGCTAGGACCTTAGTCACTAGGTTACCGTACTGGGCCCCAACCTGGTACTCTTTAAAAAGATCTATTTATTTGCTTGAAAGAGTGATACAGGCAGAGACACAGAGAGATCTTTATTCCCCAAATAACTGCAAGAGTCAGGACCAGGTCAGGCGAACTGCACCAAAGTCTCTTCCACAGGTGCAGGGGTCCCATGCTGCCTTCCTGGGTGCATTAGCAGGGAGCTGGATCAGAAGTGGAGTCGGTTGGACTTGAACTGGCGCTCTGACCTAAGCTGCTGGGGTGGCAAGCAGAGGCTTTCCTCCTGCGCCATACATAGTGCAGGCCATGTTCTTTATGCTTTTTAAATTTTCTCTCTTTCTTTCCTCCCTTGCTCCCTCACTCCCCTTCCTTCCTTCTCTCTTCTCTTCTTTTCTCCTCTCTCTCTCTTCTTTCTAACGAATGTGTGTCTTCCTCATGAGACTTGTTTTCCATGAGCACAGAGATCATGTCTGTTCCCTCTTCACCAGTTTTGGCCTTAATGTCTGGAGTGTAGTAGCAGGTCAGTAAATGTTTGCTGAAACATTGTGGGTGACCCTTGTCTATGTGAACTACAGCAGGCATGGTTTGTCAGTGAGGCTGAGCGGCCTTATGGTCTTTGACTATATAAAAACTGTCCATGTGGTTGGCACTGTGGTGTGGAACGTGAAGCTGTTTGCATCGCCGACACCCTATATGGGCACCAGTTTAAGGCCCAACTGCTCTGCTTCTAATCCAGCTCCCTTCTACAGCACCTGGGAAAGCAGCAGACGGTGGTCCAAGTGCTTGAGTCCCTGGCGCTGTGGTGTAGTAAGCTAAACCTGTGCCCGTGGTGCTGGCATCCTATATTGGCACCAGTTCAAGTCCCGACTGCTTCATTCCTAATCCAGCTCCCTGCTGACGCACCTGGCAAAGCAGCAGAGCATGGCCCAAGTGCTTGGAACCCTGCACCCATTTGGGAAACCCAGAAGCAGCTCCTGGCTCCTGGCTCCTGGGTTTGGACCGGCTCAACTCCGGCCACAGTGGCCACTGGGAGGGTGAAGCAGCAGATGGAGCTCGGGTATCTCTCTCTCTGTGTCTCTCTCTCTCTCTGACTTTGCTTCTCAAATAAAGATAAATGAATCCTAAAAAAAAAAAGAAAACCACAAAAACCCTACTGTATGTCAGAGCCTGGGATAGGCTCTGGGCAATAACTCGCCTGCCCTCGTGACGGGATGGGTCCCTCAGCAGTCACGTTGTGCGCACTGTAGGCATGGATGCAGCTCCTGCCCGGCACAGGCACTCAGCGCGCTCACAGACAGTGTGCTGCTCCGGAAGCTCCGCCTCCTGCGCGTCTTTTTTTTTTCTTTACTCCGGAACGTTTCTTTCCGCCCTACCTTATCTTCCGCCGGACTCATTTGAGCCACGAACTCTTCCGGGATCTTCCGGTCCCCGGTGCGGCCGTCCAGGGAGCCAGGTCGGCCACGGCGTGCACCGGCACCCCGGGCTTGCGCGAGCCATGGCGGGCCTGACGCTGTTCGTGGGCCGCCTCCCGGCCTCGGCCCGCAGCGAGCAGCTGGAGGAGCTCTTCAGTCAGGTGGGGCCGGTGAAACAGTGCTTCGTGGTGACGGAGAAAGGTAGGGGCGGGAGTCGCACGGGCGCATTTTCCGACCCGTCGCCCTGGGAAGGGCCGGGGAGCGGATTCTGTTGCAGAGCCGAGCCTGGCGAGGGCGGGTCCTGAGGGTCGGGATGTACGTACTGGGTAAGCGCCCGCAGGTCCGGTCCTCGGCTCACGTCAGCTGATTTCAAGGCGTGGTGGCGAGTTTGACTCGGGTTATCTGCTTGTTGGACGGGGAATCTCGATTCCTTTTACAGGAATTCGGGGCTTAGGGAGATTGAGAGCTTTAAAGGCCCACTAGGTGTTTCAGCGTGTAATGGTCAGCTCCCGACCAGTGTGCTGCCTCGTTGTCCACTTATGTACTTATTACGTGGTTATTAAAGATTTGCTTATTTTTACTGGAAAGACAGATTTACAGAGGAGAGACAGAGATCTTCCATCTGGACTGTCGTGGCCTGTGGACCCTCGGGGGCTACTGCGAAGACTGGCCTTGACCGCCATCTGGTGCGATCTGATTTGCATTTCAAGAGTCTCAGTGGCATCCGTGGTGTGAGCGAGCTCTGCGGGGCGGCCAGCAGCAGAGAGCAGGCAGCCGGCTCTCGCCATGATGTACATGTGAACACTTGGTGCTGGACCGAGATGGTGGCTGTGGAGAAAGGAGTTGGAAGGTGGACATTTTTGGTGTCAGGTGGAGTTGAGAGGATCTGCTGCCGAGGGGTCGGCTGTCAGCTGGAAGAAGCAGCTGCAGGAACTCCAGCCTGACCACAGGGGCTTGCTCTGAGCCACGAGAGAGGTGCTGAGTTGTGGAGTACCGCTGTGCACTTCACAGTCTCTCACTCGTCAGTAGGAAGGTGGGCTGGCTTTAGAGTGAGGCTGCTTTGTAGGGTTGTGGTGGTAGAAGCATTTTTTCCTCTTACCTGTGCTTGCCGGGGGCAACTGATCGGCAGCTGTGGAATCCAGATTGTACCTGTCGCTCCTTCCAAGGCAGCTGGGTCTGTAGCTGGCTGCCTCTTGGCTTTTGGCAGCACTGGTAGAAACTGATGTCTTGTGGACTTTCCCTATTCCCTCCATGGTGTGTGAGCATGTGGGTAGGCAGGGCTGATAATCACACCATCTTGGGGCCAGCATGGTGGCTCAACAGGCAGGTCCTGCACCTGCAAACGCCAGCATCCAGTATGGGTGTCAGTTCATGTCCTGGCTGCTCCACTACTGCTCACATTCCCTGAGACAAGACCCAATGTGTTAGGGCTCTGCACCTGCGTGGGAGACCCAGAAGAGGCTCCCGACTCCTGCAGCCTTGTGCTATCTGGGGAATGTAAATAGTCACCCTGTCTGTGTTAGGACTGTCGCCATGGCTCACTGCTGTACAAGCGTCCACCTGGTTGTTATTTTAACTGTAGATCCAGGTGAGTGTGTGAGACTGCTGCACATGGGTATTTTTGGTTTTTTTTTAAGCTTTATTTTATTTTTATTGAAAGGCGGATATACAGAGAGGAGAGACAGAGAGGAAGATCTTCCATCCGATGATTCACTCCCCAAGTGAGCGCAACGGCCGATCTATGCCGATCCGAAGCCAGGAGACTCTTCCAGGTCTCCCACTCGGGTGCAGGGTCCCAAAGCTTTGGGCCGTCCTCGACTGCTTTCCCAGGCCACAGGCAGGCAGCTGGACGGGAAGTGGGGCTGCTGGGATTAGAACCGGCGCCCATCTGGGATCCCGGGCGTGCAAGGCGAGGACCTTAACCACTGCGCCATCGTGCCGGGCCCAACACATGGGTGTTTTTTAAACTGCAGACTAAGATGTGGATGTTGAGTGAGTTATGACTAAAACTTTTTATTTTCTTTTCTTTTGAAAATTGCCTTGTTTATTTGACAAGCAGAGTTAGAGAAAGAATCTTCAGTCTGCTGGTTCATTCTCCGAATGCTGCGATGGCTGGGGCTTACCTGAGAATGTTCTGAAGATAACATGAGTTAGACTTGGTGAATGCTTTGGAAAGGTTTAACGTAGCACTGATGCCTAAGGAGTTGGCACTGAACTCTCCAAGATCCCCAAGCAGCATTTGCTGTCTGAAGTTCTTTGTCAGGGTCTCAGGTTTTTATTGCTGATCTGTTTGGAGAAGGGACTGCATTGCTACATTCTGATTTTCAAAGCTAACTGTAGTTTCCCACCTTCTGTAAGTGATTTTTGTTGTTGTTCTAGTTCCTGGTGAGCATGCCTATGGAGAACCCTAGATCATGGATCCTTTGTGTTCTTGAGATTACTAGGAAAGAGGTCCCAGCAGTAAAGACAACAAATTAGAAGCAGGAGGATGCCCAGCCGTTCGAGTGAAGTGTGAAAGGGGCCGTGATGCCAGGCCTTTTTTGTTTCCTTGACTCTTGGCAGACTGTTAACACGATGGTGTGGCGCTCTGGTTTGAGCCTGGAGGGTTTTCTGGGGTCACGCCCTTGGCTTGTGGTTCGCTCCGACTGCCAGCTTGCCTGCCTTCTTGTGTTCCTGCAGGGAGCAAGGCGTGCCGGGGCTTTGGCTACGTCACTTTCTCCATGCTGGAAGACGTTCAGCGGGCGCTCAAGGAGATCACCACCTTTGAAGGCCACAAGATTAGCGTGACAGTTGCCAAGAAAAAGCTGAGGGATAAGTCCAGGAACAAGGGGAAAAATGGTGAGCTTCTGACTGCTGGGGTGAGCTTCTCCCGAGAGGCTGTGTGCCTCGGGGGAGGAGCTTCCAGAGTGTGAAGCTTCCTGAATCTCTTGGATGTCCGCAATCACCTGGTGTGGTTTTGATTCTCACTGTGGTTCTCCTGTCTCCGCCTTGCTCCGGGAAATCTGGTACTCCTGGGCGGTGTGACCCTGTGGTGAATGTCACCTGTCACTAGTAGAATTTTGCTTTTCCCTCTAGTATTCTGGTTTAGAAGTGAATTTACTCCATTGCCTCTCTTTCTCTCTTTTCTCCTCTAGAAAATTCAGAGACCCTTAAGGAACCGAAATCTAAAAAGGCCAAAGTGGCAGCTAAGAAAGCCAGGTTGATCATTCGGAACCTGAGCTTTAAGGTGAGCGGCCAGGAAAACGCTCGAATGGCCTCAAGGTGGACAGAGCCCCGCCTCACTCCCTGGTGGAGTGCCTCCCGTGGGTGGTGTCACCGACTTCCTTCCTTTGGGCCATGGAACTTAGCCCTGCTGAATCCAGAAAGTGAGCCTGTAGCAGCAAGAATTGACTGAAGACACCACGTGTGCTGCCTTCACTTGGGGAGTTACTGCTGAAAAAGGGACGGGAAGAAAGGCTCTCTGACACCTGTCTGCCTGCCTCTTAGATACATAGTGGGGTGACCCGCTCAGCAGTGCCTGGCACCTTAGTGTGGAGGGTATGAAAGCAGCTCAGACATTCAAGCTCAGGTCCTGATAAATGGGCTTGGTTGTTGCTGTTTGCTGGTTTTTGTTTGTTTGTTTGCTGTTGATATATTCTTTTTCTTTCTTCCCATTTGCCTTCAGTGCTCAGAAGATGACTTGAAGACTGTTTTTGCTCAGTTTGGCGCTGTCCTGGAAGTTAATATCCCTAGGAAGCCAGGTACCGTACCCTTTGGCTGGCATACATTTGATTCAGATCAGTTACTGCGCTTCTCCATAATATGCTCCATCTCAGCGCTGTTTGAAATAGAGATGCAAGGTTCGTGTCACTGCCAGGTGTATGTGAAGTAGAGCACTTGGTAAGCCATAGAAACCCAAATAATAATGCTATTCCGTGATGGGATTTTTAAGAAGACCAGAATTAGTTTCATAAGACTGGTTATTTCGAGCTTGAGAAAGATGTTGTCGTGCTCCCCAGGCCAGAGTCGGAGTGCACTGGGCAAGCCGACAGACACTGCTGCTTTCAGAAGGCTGGCTGGTTGGCAGGATTTGGCCAATTTTTGAATCCAGGTTGTTCCAGATTTCTTCTTCATATTCTGGCTATCCCATTGCTGCCTCTGTTTTTTTTTTTTTTTGTCTGTTTGTCCACAGATGGGAAGATGCGTGGTTTTGCTTTTGTGCAGTTCAAGAACCTCCTAGAAGCGGGAAAGGCTCTCAAAGGAATGAACATGAAAGAGATAAAAGGCAAGTTTTCTCTACCCTTGCCCTTGGGCAGGAAAGCTCTGGGGTAATCCTCTGTGCATTCTCAGGAGATGGTGCATTGCTTCTCACTGGTAATGCAGAGGCTGCTCTGAGGAACTGTGCCAGATACTCGACCCTAGGGTTCCACTTGAAAGCGCTGGTATCAGTAGCCTTTCCTTGATTTTCTGAGTGTCCTATTAATTCCTAATAAAAAAAAAATGTTCCTAGGATTGTTTTATTTTATTTATTTGAGAAACAGAGTAAAAGACAGAGGGACAAAGAGACAAAGTTCTCACGTGCTGGTTCACTCCCCTGGTGCCTGCAGTGGCCAGGATGCCTGGAATACAGTCAAGGTCTCTTTTGTGGGTGGAAGGGGCCCCACACCTGCTGCCTCCCATGATGGGGAGTAGTAGGAAGCTGGAACTGGGCTCTGGTATGGAATGTGGCCTGGGCATCCCAGCTGCCGTGCCACGTGCCCACCGTCCCTGGAATAATTGTTAGTTGATGCAGGTTGACGTATAAGCTCTTCCCTTGTGGGTGTGACCCCCTTTCAGCCTCTGGGGGCGTTAGATGACGAGGCTGCTCTTGATTCATCTGGCGCTGTGCTGAAGGAGGACATCATTTAGACTTTCTGGCTCTGAATCTGGTACAGATGATTCCAAAAGTCTTGTTTTCCTTCTTACTAGTCTTACTGGAAACATTGTTCTTATTCCACATTATCCTGGGTGTGCTGGCTGTATAGAAAGGCAGAATTTCTGTTCACTGAAGAAAAAGCTAAATGTGAAAAGGAGTAGGCAGTTACTGGAAGCATTCTTTAAGAACTAGCATCCTGTAGCTGGTGCAATAGCTCAACTGGCTGGTTCTCCACCTCCAAGTGCAAGGATCCCACATGGGTGCTAGTTTGAGTCCCAGCTGCTCCATTTTCCATCTACCTCCCTGCTTGTGTCCTGGGAAGGCAGTGGAAGATGATCCAAAGCCTTGGAACCCTGCACCCATGTGGGAGACCTGGAAGAGTCTCCAGGCTCCTGGCTTAAGATGGGCTCAGCTCTGGCCGTTGTAGCCATCTGAAGAGTGAGCCAGCAGATGGAAGATCTTTCTCTCTCTCCTTTTTGTAAGTCTTTTTTTAAATTTTATTTTTATTTATAATAAATTTATTCTATTTTTGATGATATTCACATAGTTATAAAGGATGCGTGCCTATGTGGACCACCACCAGCCAGGGTCAGGGGTGTTAAGGAATGGGGGAAAAGTAGATGAGACAATTGTCTCCAATCTCTTTTTTTCCTCCCTGTACCGTGGGGAGAGAAGGGGAGAGGGCTGCTCCCAGAAGCCCAACCACATCAGAAATAAATACATGTTAAGGAAAAAAAAGACTAGCATCGTCTAAATTGACAGTTTGTTTGTCTGCCACTCCTGTTCCTGTAGGGACGTCACTCGTAGGAGGTAGAGATGTTGAAGAAAACCCTCTGATAACACTTTTCTTTTCTGACAGGGCGGACTGTGGCTGTGGATTGGGCCGTGGCAAAGGATAAATATAAAGATACACAGCCCGTTTCTGGCTCAGGTGAGTTGCAGGAGTGGCAGGTAGAAGGAATCCCCTTGCGTGTATGTCCTGAGCGAGAGGGGGCAGACAACTCCTCTGTTTATGATCAGATTGTAAAAGGACCTGCTGGTCTGAATGCAGACACCGGGCTGGACATACCCAAAGCACAGAGCATGCAGGGAGAGTGATTGCAGGGGTGTGTGTAGCCATCTGGTGAGCTGCTCCCTCCCTCACTCCGTGGCAGTGCGGGCTCTGGGGAGCTCCGTCCAGTCCTGGGTATGGATGGTGGGACAGGCTGAGTTCATTGTCCCTGCTGCTTTCCCAGCTTCTCATCCTAAGGAGCAGTGCAGCATTAACAATGGAGAAACTTAAAACTGGTTTTCTTCAGAGAACAATGGCTCCAAGCCCTGACTCTCAGGCAACAGAATTGCTATAGATGGAAGCTCAAGGTTGGGCCCGGAGGGAGCCTGTGCTGGCCGGGGGGCCCCCTGGACTGGGCCCTGGGGGTGCCTGGCCCCGCTGCTCACTGCTCCTACTGCTGAGTGGGAAGAGCTCCAGAGGGGCCTGGCAGATGTGTGCTTGGTTTGTGTGGGTTTGGGTTTTGGTTTTTGCTTTCCTCCCTTCATTTCTTGTCTTGTTGCATACAGGAAAAGCAAATAAATACAATCTGAAATTCTGTAAAAGCAGAGAAACTTGGCTCCTTGGAGTGTCAGTTACTCATGGTAAAATAACTTCGCTTTAGCACTAAGCAAGGTTCTAATTTTCTTTACCTCTTTGTAGGTAAGAGCAAAAGCGCTGAGCCTAACCATCAGGAGTCAGTTAAAAAGAGTAGCAAAGATGATGAAGACATAGAAGAGGAACATGATGATGTTGAGGCTGATGATGATGATGATGAAGATGAGGATGAAGACTCCAAGGTGACGCAGGCAGTGCAGCCTCGGAAGAGGTAAGCAGCCAGGCCTGTTCCGTGTGTGGAGGAGGACATGTCACGTCCTCTCCAGCAGTGTGTCACTTCCTGTGTTGTGGTTCTTTGTGGCATCCCAGATCCTTAGCTGCAGATTGTCGTTGCAGAGCAGACAGGAAAGCTGTCCCCGCCGAAAGCAGTGACGAGGATGGCGACGATGCTTCTGAGGAGGACAGTGACCCGGAGGAGGGGGATAGTGTGGCTGACACAGAGGACCTGGCTCGGAGCGATGGCAGTGCAGAAGAGCAGGACGACGAAGGTTTGGGCCCTCAGGAGTGCCTTCCCCCTCCGGCTGGACCCTGAGAACAGGGCCACGGTCCCCCATTGGGGTGTCTTTGAATAGGACCCGAAGATGTTTGGTCAAGTTGGCATCTAAATGCTGCAAAGGAAACCTTTGTAATTCTTTCTTCTAAATTGTTTGCTTATTTATTTCTTTTTGGAGTGGTACTCGAGGTTTAAGATGCTCTGTTAGGGGATTTGCAGCTCAGCTTAAAGCTGAAGTAAAAGCTTTCTGTCTTGATTGCCCAAATCCAAGTTGATTGAATAACTGGATAAGCAGGGTATCACATGTCAAGACCTAGCTGGGTTTTTATAGTAACTCCTTTGAGTTAGGAGGGGGATAAAGGACTCCGCAGACAGCTCAGGCTGCTGGCTGCAAGACCACGGCCTGGCCGGCTCAAGCCACAGACGGTGATTTTCCCCCAGGTCTCACTGCTAGCTGGTTTTGTTCCTGGTGAGCCTCTTCCTGGCTTGCAGACTGCCCCCTTCCTGCGGTGTCCTGCGGTGTCCTCACATGGCCTTTTGCTTGTATGCCTCAAGGAGGAGAGAGAATTAGCAAAATGAGCAGAACGGTCTCTTTCTGCTCCTGAAGGGACACCCGGCTCGAGCGCCCTCAGGTAGCTTGAGTGCCCTCCTCTCCTGCTGTCTTTAACTGCAGTCTCACTGGGGCTGCTGTGTGTTGATTAGAAGGCACAGTTCAGTTGATAAGGCCCTTTTGGAGTGAGCAGTACAGTTGTCACCAATCCCTGTCACTCCCTTTATTAAGAACAGAACTTTTACCAAGAGATGCTCTGGTTTTTCTGGGTGGAGGGTTTTATTCAGCTGTGTTTCTTCCTTTTTTGTGAGTCTGGAATATTTGTTTGACAGTGTAAGAAATCTGAAGAAATAAGCTTTTTTTCTTTTTTTAAAGAATCATTTATTTTAAATTCAGAGAGGAGAGACAGATAGCTTCCATCTGCTGGTTCACTCCTCATGTGTGTGCAACAGCTGGAGCAGAGGCAAGCTAAAACCAGGAGCCAGGAGCCTGGAGCCCACGTGGGTGCAGGGTCCCAAGGCTTTGAGCCATCCTCTGCTGCTTTCCCAGGCCACAAGCAGGGAGCTGGATGGGAAGTGGAGTGGCCAAGATACAGACTGGCGCCCATATGGGATCCCAGTGCACGTAAGGTGAGGATGTCAGCCACTAGGCTATCATGTTGGACCCTCTAGTGAGAGTTTTAATGCATTTATAAACAAAAATACATATATTCACACACAAAGTGTGGTGTACATTTGCTAATCAAACGTTTCCTTTATGCTTTTATGCTTTGAAGTTGATTTTTTTTTTTTTTTTAATTTGAGACAGATAGGGACCGAAAGCTCCCATCTACTCAGGCCTACTGTGAGTACTGGCTGTGTTTTGCAAGTCAGGAGCAGGAACTTGATTCAGTTGTGAGAACCCATATAACTTGACCTACTACTGCCTGTCATGCCCTAGGTGAAAGATTTGTCCCAGTCATTGGTCCTTTATGTTTCCAGAAAATTCTCTCTGTAGCAGCACTGGTGGGAATGCCTCCCCTGGGCTTTGGACAGAATCGATTCTGCGGATCTGATTTTGTCAATCTGCAATGAAAGATAGCATCTCATTTCTTGCAGGATTTTTTAATGTAATTGTGAGTTTAAGCGTGTTGCCATGTGTTTCGTGAATGCCCTGTTACTTCTTTTTGCTTTTATAATTAAAGCAGTCTGTTTTAGGAAGTTAGCTGCTTGTTGAGTGCCGGAGGCTTCTCAGTGTGTTCTTTTACCTCAGGTTCCCAAGTCTCAAAGAAGAAGAAGAGGAAGTTACCGTCTGACGTCAGTGAAGGGAAAACAGTGTTTATCCGGTATGCTTCCTGCTTTCTGAACTGCTGCTTGTGCTCCCGCTGGGGCCTTCAGCTCCCCTGCTTCCTCCTTCCTCCCCTCCCCTCCTCCTGATGCTAGTCCCGTTAGGTCCCGCAGACTTTTGAATGTTTTTAAGGCTTAGCACATCTGAGCACTGAGAGCCGCAGGGAGTCAGAACTGTTACACAGAAGACGGTGGAGGAACTTGTGCTCCTCCCGAGCTCCCCTTTGTAGTTGGAGTCAGTCCAGCTGCTACAAGCCTCTTGTTCTGGGCTTTGTTTTAGAAGGAGTGCTGGGGAGGAGTAGCACCACCTGTGCCTCAGGACTTCATGCCTGACTTCTCCTGTAGTGCAGTATCTAAAATGAAGTAAGACACCCCGCCTGTTTCCAGGGGAGCGGGAGTGGAGTTGGGGTGGAGATGGGTAGGCTTTGAGTTTGATTTTAGAGGTGAATATTTTACTCTTTTGTGCAGCCTATTAAGTTCTTAACAGTGTGTTTTCGCAAACTCTATTTTTTGTTACTGTGTTACTTAGAACTTGTACGTAGAAAGTGTTGTGTTAGTGGAGGATTCAGCTTCTTGAGAAGGAAGAGTCATCATATTCAGAAGCCTGTGACCTCAGTACCATGAATAGCATCCCATATGTATCTTCCAGTTAATGAAGAGCTTAGGGCAAAGGAATGAAGGGGAGGTAAAGGGATGGTTGTACACAGATGTAAATTAGGAGAAATAATGCAGCTAGGCTGTCCTGCTGCAGAAAGCCTTTTGAGAAATTTGAATTACTTCATGGATTAGAATTATTTGTGGGGATGTTTATTGAGTATGAAACAAGCAGCTGTTTATATTAGGAAGTATTTTTCTCAGCCTTGGAAGGATGTGCTGGGGAAATGAGGAATCTTTACATTGAAATCTTTTTATTTTTAAAATTTTGTTTCAAAGGCACAGTTATAGAGAGAGGAAGAGACATGGAGCTCTTTCTGCTAGTCCACTCCCTGAAAGGCTGCAATGGTTAGGGCCGGACCAAACTGAAGCTAGCAGCCAGGAGCTTCTTCTGGAATGTGTATGTGGTGCAGGGGCGCAAGTGTTGGGCTGTCTTCCACTGCTTTCACAGCACACAAACAGGGAGCTGAGTCACAAGTGGAACCCTTGGGGTTTGAATCTGTGCCTGTGGGACGCTGTTTCTAAACGGGGGTGCAGCTCAGAGGCAGCAGCCCCTGGCTTGGACTCTGCACTCATTTCGTGAGTTGTAATCCGAGTATGCAGGAGGAGGTTCACCAGTTACGTGCACACACTATGCAGTTTTATACTTTTGTGGTTGACATTTCTTGTGACCTGTCCCCCACAGAAACCTGTCCTTCGACTCTGAGGAGGAAGACCTCGGGGAGCTCCTGCAGCAATTTGGAGATCTCAAATATGTTCGCATCGTCTTACATCCAGACACAGAGCACTCCAAAGGTGCGTGCTGCCCGTGGCCAGGCCCTGACTCCGGGCGTCGAGGATACGTGATGCGTGCTGTTCCAGGGGTCTGCAGTGATGTAGCTCAGTGTCTCAGTGCCATGGAGCCATGAGGAGCCCTGGCATGTTGAGTGAGGCTTCCATGGCGTCTTCAGTGGCTGCCAGACATGTTTGTCTAAGCTTGTTTATTTCCTTTAGGAATGTGAATTCCATTTGTTATTCTCCTTTGAATTTCCAGTGTGTTAGGATGGTGGGACATGAATCACTGCAGGGTGATTGGATGGCTGAAATCCCTTTTTTTTGTCTTTTGGTTTCTATTCAGTTTTAGGTGGGAGCTTTGTTGCAGGGGCAGCAGTCAGAAGTAGGGCTACTTTTTTTTGTCTTTCCTAAAACTGTATTTTGAGCTTCAAAGGTTAGTTACTTATTCTGGTACGCTATTGTTAGGTTAAGCATCTGCCCACTCATGTGTCATAATCCTGTGTTTCATTGCCAGCAGTCCTTCTAAAGCACTGAGTTACCAAGTCAGGACTACTGCCTCCCAGAACCTGAGGAGGCAGCTGGACTCACGAACCAAGGGTGATGCTGAACAGGCAGTGCTGGATGTTGGCATTTTAGCTGGTGTCTTCACTGCCTAGCTAAACCCAACTTTTCTCATTTATAAAAGGAGTGGGTGCAGCTAGATCACTTAATGCGCTTCAGGTCTAATATTCAGTTAAATTTCTTGGACCATCTTCATTTTTAGCAGTTTTTCTAGAAATGGACAACTAAACTTGTGTAAGATATGCAGAGTATGATATTACTTTAATTTTATGATCTTGCTTTACTTCCATAATATCCAACCTCTTGGCCCTTTTTGACTGCAGTGTTATATTGGGTTGATATCTTCAAAATATAGTCTAAGTCAACCCACTTTATTTCTTTTTGGTCGGTTAGTAGAGTTAATGATCCTAGCAAGGATATTTGAATTCCTTTTTTCCCTACGTTGTCTTCCCTTGCCCATGGAAGTTTCCTGATAGCTCTCATGCCGGCTCTTGCAGCCTGTGCTTGTCCTCCTGTTCGTTCCTCTCCCTGGGCTGCTTCACTCACCAGGAGTGGTAAATGCTTGTTTTTCTGCAGACTTTCAGGGAAGTGGGCCCTGGAAATGTCAGTGATAAAAGGCTTGCCCTTGGAGACAGAAGCTCTTGTTTTCTTCCTGTTGGAAGACCAGGCTAATATTCCTGTTAGAAACATCTCTTCCCCCTTTCTACCTTTCTTATAAATATCCTTCTGTATCTTCGGGAGATTGGTGCCGGGACCCACTGTGGGTACCAAGATCTGCAGATGCTCAAGTTCTGTCTATCACATTGTATAGTGTTTGCATGTAATTGATGAACTTCCTCCCAAATACTTGCATTACCATCATTGCTAGATTACTTACAATACCCAATGCAATGTAAATAATGATTCCCTATTCTTTGGATGTTGATGATGAGAAGAAAGAGTCTATATGTGTTCAGTATAGATGTAGTGTTTTTTTCCTAAATACTTTGAATCCGTAGTTGAGCCCACTGGTGAGGAACCCACCCTTGGTGGAGAGCTGACCATGTTCGGTTCCTTCTCTTGAGTATCCGGTGATGCTGTGCACTCAGGCTGCTGCTGGGGAGACAGGAGTGGAGGACTTGAGTGCGTGGGGCCACTGGAGCAGGGACACTCGCTTTGCGTGGAGGAAGCAGGCCCCTCACACACAGTGGGGACCTTTGACCTGAGCTACCATGCGTATGCTTACAGCCAGTGAGCTGCCGTCCGTTCTTGTAGCCCTGTGAGCTGTAGGAACTACGGTAGTGTTTTCACATTTTACATTTAAAACAATACTAACATAGAATTTTGAAACTTGTATTTTTTTTTCAATGATTTTTCTTTTAAGAGAGAGTCACAGAGTGACGAAACTTTCCTCTGCCTAGGCGTACCCAAATGGCTGCCAGCAGCCAGGGCTAGGCCAGACTAAAGCGAGGAGCCTGAAACGCCACCTGGGCCTTGCGCATGGGTGACAGAGAGCCAGGTGCTCATGCTGTCACCTGCCTGATGGACATTGTCAGGAGGCTTGCGTGGAAGGTGGGCGTCAGGACTTGAACCCAGGCATTCTGCTGTGGCTCCTCAGCCAGCAGGTCAGACTCTTGGCCCTGTGTCTTTTCTGGGACATTTAGTAGGGGATTTGCTGGAATGGAAAACATCTTTTGTCTGCTTATAAAGGCTGTTTTTTTGCTGACGTCAGAAATTTGGATGGGTTGATTGGTCTTGCATCTGACTGACAAAAGGCACAGCTTCCTGGTTGCCTGGTGACGTTCATGGACTTTTGCTCCAAGGGGCAGATCTGTTACTTGGTGCCTCCCAAATGACTGTGCGACTGTGAAACCTGTGACCAGCTTCAGGATTATACGGCTCCTGCCTCCTGTGTTAGCTCTCTAACAGGACTCTTGGTAGGTGATGCTAAAATAAACAGGAGGTTGCAATTTCTTCATCATTTCCTGTGTTTCTTGTTAAGTGGACGGCTGAAAAGACTGTGGTTCTAGGAAGCAATGACAGTGTCGCTGAGCACAGGTGGCCGTCGTGCCTGACGCAGTGCTCGACACAGTGCCTCTGTCATCGTGTTTAGTGAGTGGATGCCACCCTCGCTTCCACCCTGCGTCAGGCTGCGGCCGCTGGTCATGAGGCCTTGGGCCTGCTGGTTGGCGCAGGGGCTGGAGCTCTCACTTTGGTCTGTCCCTCATGCAGGCTGTGCCTTTGCTCAGTTTGTGACCCAGGAAGCGGCTCAGAAGTGCCTGGCAGCGGCTTCACCCGAGGCTGAGGTGAGACGGGTGCATCGTGACCCTGGGACCCGGAGAGGGTGGTTCGGGACCACATGTTGCTTACCCAGAGCCGCAAGGTTGATATTGCCACTGTCAGTAATCATAAAGACATTAGACACTTTATGTTGGATACCGGGGCTTAGACGCATTGTCTTATTTAATCCTAAAATCAGCCCCACAAGGTATGTAGTAGCCCTCTGTTTGATAGGTGAGGAAACAGTAATATGTCTGAATTTGCTGTCTGTGTTCAGCTTCTAGCCTAGACTAGTCATGTGAAAGACTGAGAAAAGAAGGTTTGAAGTCTGTGTTTTAAGTCAGTGTCTGAGGGAGAAAGTACATAATGGTGATTTTTCTGTGTGTAAATTGTTTTAAGGTTATTAGATTACTTTGTATTCACACATTGCTCTACTAATTTAAAGCTTTTTAAATATTAGTAGAAATGTGATTCAGATCATTTTCCTTAATTTGGGCCTACTTTAGAACTAACCAATTGCCACGAAACAGTAAGTGGCTGACTGCTGCCTGCCCCCGGTGTATGTGGCCGTTCCCACAGCTGTCCTCCGTGGAGAGCCGGCCCGTCGTGGGGCTCGGCTTCCGGAATGTGGCGGGTTTGCTGTCTTTCCTCACTGCTCCTGTCTGGCTTGAAGTTTCTGCTTGTGCATTTTAAGAGAGGTTATCTTTGAACAGGGTGGCGGCCTTAAACTGGATGGCCGCCAGCTCAGGGTGGATCTGGCAGTGACCCGGGACGAGGCTGCGAAGCTCCGGACGAAGAAGGTGAAGAAGCCGACGGGAACGCGGAACCTTTATCTGGCCCGAGAAGGCTGTGAGTGTTGAGGGAGACGTGAGCCTGGCACTAAGCAGCTGGCCCTGCGCCCTGAGCCAGAACTACTGTTGCAAATGAAAACCCGCTTGTCCTCTTTCACAGCGTTCTGTGGATCGGTGTTGCGCTGCAGTGGCTGGGGCTTCCTACTAGGGGTTAGGCAGTCCTGTTCTTGCTGCCTGAGCGCCTGCGAGATGCGGACTCCAGTCACCTTGCTTCTGTCGTTCTTTCTGAAGAAGTTAGGACTTAAATTACTCCTGAATTATGTATGAATGAATATGTGTATGCCCTGCCTTTCACATGCTGGTGGGAGGATCGTCAGACATTAGCTTTAAGTTAAACAGTCGCTTCTTTCAGGACACTCAGGGTTTATCAGCTTATCTCCTGCACAGCTGCCTGGCAGGGCTGGTGATGTTTTTCCTTTGGCCTTTGCTACTCGGCTTCTGTGCAACGTGACTGCCTGCTGGGCTGGCTGATCTCGCTGATGATCACTGGCTCTCAGGTACAGGAGCAGCAGTTCACTTCCAAAGGGTAGATTACAAGTGGGAATGTTTTGCTTTGCAAAATTTTAGAATTTCCTCCAGGCGTTTGCTTGTACCTTTGCCCTTGTCCGTGAAGTTTCTGTGAGGGAAGAGAATGAAAAGTGGAATGAAATCCAGGCACGTTCAGAGTTGTAGTCCTTGAGAGCAGCTCCGAGCCCAGCCTAGCCCTGTAGCCTATTTCTGGGTCGAACCACATGCCTGACCAACATGGTCCTCTGGGCCTGGTCGGAGTTTGCATCATTCAGTCACATTCTTGTTGCTCAATGGAGGTCCCCTTGCTGACGCCTTGGCCCTACTCCCTCCTTCTGCAGTGATCCGTGCTGGGACGAAGGCTGCCGAGGGCGTGAGCGCTGCTGACATGGCCAAAAGAGAACGGGTGAGCAGAGAAGCCCCCGGCTGTGGGATTCCGCACTGCCTCTAGAGTCAGTGCGAAGCTGCTGGTTCTGGATGTGCTTGTCCAAGAGCCACGGGTGATCCTGGCACTTCCCACGGCACAGAGGGGCAAGAGGCGCGAGGGCGGGACAGCAGGTGACCCACAGGAGACCGGGGCTGGTGGGAACCCTGGCAGAGTCTGAAAGATCAGTTATAGGAAGGAGTCGACCCAGGTCTTAGGAGGAGTTGTTATCTCTAAATTATAAAATCATTTCAGGAAAACTCCCTGTTACAGGCATTTCCACTGTTACTTGGAACTGCTTCAGTGCCTCTGTTGCTTAGTGATAGCAATTTCAGCAGGTTTTACTTTTTCCCATGTATGTTAGCATTCCAAATGCTAAGCCAGCCCAGAGTGGTGAAGTTCATAACCGTTAACAGCATTAGCTGTGCAACTTCGAAGAGGAGAAGGTGACGAAGAGAAGTGAGCATATGACAGTGGAGGCAGTGTGGTCCTGTGTAGATCCGAGGGTTCATCTGTTTTGGCAGTGAGCATCTGGAAATCATGTGTACCCATTTTCTGACCAGTGCAGTGACAACCTATTTAGCAAAAAGCTCACTAGGCTGTTTGTGTGCTTTGTAAATTCACAACAGGCACAGCTTTTTTTCTAGAGGAAAAGTAGTCTGTAGAACCTTGACCTGGTACGCCCTTTAACCCTCACTTCCAGAAAGTGCATTTTATTATTTGTTAGAAACCTTTACCGAATAAGAAACAGTGGGATCTGAGATCGTTGGATCAAAGGAAGTAGTTAATTGTAAACCACTTTCTACCACATTGTTTTTTTAAAAACAATTAGGGGATGTCATTCACCATCCCATCCCAGAGAGGGCGCTGGAGCAACGTGGCTTGGATCGTTGCTCCAGAGCTGAGCACGCCTCTGTGGCCACTGGCACTTGCTTGCCTCGCTCTGCCCCATTTCCTCTCGCATGGACTGGATTGTTGGCTTGAGTTGGGAAGGTGAATATTGGACAGATGATAAACCTCAGTATGCTTTGTTACTTACTCTGGGTCAGCTCTTTTTTTTTTTTAAATTGAGATTTTTTTTTTTTATTTATTTGAAAGGCTGAGTTAGAAAGTAGGATGGAATGAGAGACAACATTTATTCTTCTGTTGCATTGCCCAAATGGCCACAGCAGCCGAGACTTGGCCAGGCTGAATCCAGAAGTCTGGAATTCCATCCAGGTCTCCCATGTGGTTGTCCAGGGTCCAGGTACTTGGGCCAACCTCTACCTACTTTCCTAGGAACATTTGCAGGGAGCTGGATTAGAAGTGGGGCAGCTGGGACTCAAGCTGGCACCCATGTGAGAAGCTGGTGGGCCAGCTTGGTGAGTGAACCATTTTTTGAGGGGGTTGCTCATTTAGAGCAACTCATATTTGCAGTTCCATTGTCTAGATGGAAAATTGAACCCTAAGTCTTCCTGTAATTTCCCCGGTGAGAGCTTACTGCAGAGCCGCTGTCACTGCCAGCCCACCATCCTTCCTCTGTGAACTTGCACCAGGCCTTCTGTGGAGCAGGCTGTTTTCTTCCGTTTTTTTCTACATGTGGTCATGGTGGAGGGCCATGGTCCTTTGACATAGGCTAACTACGAGCTTGCCTTTACAAAGGGTTGGCTGTCCTGTTCACGGTGTGTTATTCCCTTAGTTTGAGCTACTGAAGCACCAGAAACTCAAGGACCAGAATATCTTTGTCTCCCGGACCCGCTTGTGTCTACACAACCTGCCGAAGGCTGTGGATGACACTCAGCTCAGGAAGCTGCTGCTCACGGCCACCCGGGGCGAGAAGGGCGTGTGCATCAAAGAGGTGAGAGCTGGCCCTGCCCGGGGAGTGAGCGTCCCTCGCAGGCGGCGGTGTGGACAGAGCAGTAGCTTTTCTTTGGTTCCTAAGAATTGTCTTTCCCGTCTGACCAGACTGCAGCAGATCTGAGGAAGGCTCTGTCCTCATAAATCAGTTTGTTAGACGTGGAAGCAGCTTATTAAATGCATGATGGATTTTCTTACAAAGAAGAGTATGTGTGCACGTTCCTCCTCAGAAGAGTACCGTTAGGTTTGCCCTCTGGTGAGAATTCTCAGTGCCCCCGACAAAGCCACACAAAGGCTCCTCTTTTGAATCAGACTCTGTATGGGCCCAGAGGCCTTGTCATGGCCCCTGCTGCACCCCGTGTGTGTGATCACACGTGCCATTACGTTGACCCGAGTTGTTAGTCCTTTCTTCTCACCAGAGTGAACTTTTCATGGAAAATATTATCTCCCTTTTCTGACAACGTAGTCATTTCCAAATTGGTATTTGATTTATGTATTTGAGGGATAGAAAGGCAGATGGACACAGAGTTCCCAGCCCTCCCCAGATGCTCCCACTAGCCAGGGCTGAGCCCAGGCCAGAGCCAGGAGCTGGGCACTTAGTCCAGATCTGCTTCCTGAGTCGCAGCAACCTGAGTGGGTTAGCATCTCTGCTGCCAGCATCTGTCATAACAGGAACCGGAGTCAGGAGTCAGCCTGGGTCCTGCAAGATGGAATGTGGCTGTCTTAGCTGCTAGGCTACATGCCCATCTCAAGAGTCATTAAAAAAGTGTCATTGCCAATATTTCTTGGTCCCTGGAAACCTCCTCAGATTGTCTGTATTGGTATTTGGGAAATTATGTAAGTGACTTTGAATGTATCAGCACATATCTGATGCCGTTTTTAGTAAGTGGCTTATATCATTACTGGCATAGGATTCAGTTATATATCCAAATCCACATGTCTGTTCATTAAGTCTGTCATAATTTAGAGATCTATGTATGTTATACAATATTTGCATTATATTGAATTTTTCTCTATTACAGACTTTATTTATTTGAAAAGCAGAGTTACAGGATTGTGGGAGGGAGATGTTCCATTTGCTGGTTTACCCCCCAAATGGCCACAGTGGCAAGGGCTGAGTCAAGTCAAAGCCGGGACACAGGAGCTTCTTCCGGGCCTCCTCCAGGGGTGCGGGGTCCACACACTTGGACCTTCTTCCACTGCTGTCCCAGATACGTTAGCAGGGAGCTGGATCAAGAACAGAGCAGCTTGGACTGAACTGGCGCCCATATGGGGCCGTATGGGAGCAGACAGCTCTTAGACATTTTCCTTGGCAAGTTTCACTTTGTGTTTGTAAACTTGTAAACTTTGTGTTTGTGAGCTCTTAGAAGCAGCACATGTTTGTAATCGGCCGTGGGTCCTTCCAAGTGATGCTCTAGTTTGACTTTGGATGGTTATGTTTCTGCCCCCTGCCCTCTCACTGAATCTCTTGAGGCAGTTCAGGCCAGGCAGTGTGACTCAGTGTTTCTCACTGCTTACAGTGCAGGGTGATGCGAGACCTGAAAGGTGCTCCTGGGGCTGCCAAGGGCCAGTCTCTGGGCTACGCCTTTGCCGAATTCCAGGAACACGAGCACGCCCTGAAAGCCCTCCGCCACATCAACAACAACCCCGATGTCTTCGGGTCTCAGAAGGTGAGCCTCGCCCCCGGGGAGGTGAGGTCCCTGTGGCCACCAGCACAGTCGTGGTAACGTCCTTCAGCCCAGTGTCCTCTGTGGCAGGGGGATTGACAAGTTGGAGGGGTGGGACGGGCATGAGTGGTGACCCGAGTGGGAAGAGGGCTAGAAGGGGCTGAGTTGGAGGGTCCGCTTGCTCCCGCTTGCCGGACTGGTCCTTGTCTTTGGAGAAAAGAGGTGAGCAGCAGGGATTCCAGAGGGTGGGAGACTGAAGAGCGTGAGGTGGAGGGGATGAGCTCAGCTCATGGGCCTCCCACATCCAAGTCTGCCGCATGCCATCCTGTCTCCCTCTGCCGCAGAGACCCATCGTGGAGTTCTCTTTGGAAGACCGAAGGAAGCTGAGAGTGAAGGAGCTGAGGATGCAGCGCAGCCTGGTACCTTCCAACACCCCTCTGGTTTTTTTAAAAGGACAAATGGAAACTTGCGGTTTGTTCAGTTCGTGCCCCTGCTCCGTGAAATCAGCTCTCTGCCCATTTTGACTGTTTGTTGTGGCTGCCTTTGCTGGTCCCTCTGTGACAGCCCTACAGGGGAAGACCATAGAGGAGAAGCAGGTGTGGTTGCCACCATCGGCAGTTCTGGTCCAGTGCTCACTGAGGATGGGATATCATAGTGGCCAACCCAAGGCTTTCCATTCCCTGTAGTTGCCAGCTGTCCCCTCCTTTGGTCTCTGGTGGCTCTGGAAGCGTGGCATCTGCTAGTTCTAGAACTGTTTCTAATTCACTGTGGTATGGAGGGAAGAGGAAAAGCATACTCAGGTTCAAGCTCTGGCTAGTTCCTTTCTGTGTTGTCTCTCTGGAACTCCCCCTGTGAGATGGGTTAACAATACTTACCTCCCAGGACGGATGAGAATGAAGCGAGCTGATGTACCATTGTCTAGCATAGCGCACAGCCAGCACGCAGTCCCGTCCTCATTTTCTTCAAGAGTTACTTAGTTTTATTTGACAGGGAGATTTACATAGAGACGGATTGATAGAGATTTTCCATTCACTACTTCACTTTCCAAATGGTCGTAATGTTCAGAGCTGAGTTGATCCAAAACTAGGAACCAGGAGCTTTCTCTGGATCTCCCACATGAGTGCAAGGGCCCAGGTCCCTAGACCAGCTTTCCCAGGCCACACGCAGGGAGCTGGATTGGAAGTGGAGCAGCAGGGATGCCGGTACTTGCATGTGGAGGATTAGCCTGTTGAGCTCCTCCATCATCCTCCAGGACACACGGGTCCAGATTATTCTAGATTCTGTAACTCCCACAGTGCTCATCAACACTGCCCCTCAGCTTGCACATCACATGGCAGCTGTTGTAGTCTGCGCTGTGTGGTGAGCAGGTGCCTGATGTCAGTGGCTTGGATGGTGGCCCTGGCTGGGAAATCCTGGGAGCTGGTTGTTCAGGGAAGCTCTGCTGTTGTAGATGATGAGGTGTTACTGCCTCTAGTCATGGCTTCAGGGAAGGTTCTGAAGCTGGCAGCTTTCTTAAACCTCCAGATTTCTTGCTTTGTTACCTCCACTGCCCTTACGTTCGTACTGCTGTGTCGGTGCAGAAGTCCCTTTCTCTGACTCAGCTCACATGGCTCTTCCTCAAGTAGCACTGGTCTCCTCTCACCCTCATGACATGGATTCCTGTGAATGTCCTTAAACCATTTTGGTTTTACTTGAAAAAATTATGTATTTTTATTGAAAAGGCAGATTTACAGAGAAGGAGAGAGAGAGAGAGAAAGCTCTTGCATCTGCTGGTCCACTCCCCAAGTGGCCGCAATGACTGAAGCTGAGCCAATCCAAAGCCAGGAGCCAGGAGCTTCTTTCAGGTCTTCCATGCAGGTGCAGGTTCCAAGGCGTTGAGTCAACCTCCCTAAATGCTTTCCCAGGCCACAGGCAGGGAGCTGGAAAGGAAATGGAGCGGCTGGGACGTGAACCAGCACCTGTATGGGATCCTGGCTCTTGCAAGGGGAGGATTTGGCCACTGAGCCATCACACCAGGCCCTTTGCTTTGTGTGTTTGTGTCTCGTATCTCCAGGAGGCATGAGTCCTGAAAGGAAAACACTTTGCTCTCTGTTCTTGTGTCATTGCTGCTCAGCAGCAGACAGGCATGTAACGCGTGTACCCTCAGCATGGCTTCTGTCAGTTAACTCGTCTAGATTTTGATGAACTTCACTGTGTTGATTTTAGTGCAGGTGAACCTGTGACATCTGTCTTGCCTTCCCGCAGCTCGGTGTCCTTGTCGTCTTCACTTCGTGTCTTCCTTCTCTTTCTGAGTTGGAGGGGAACGGTTGTGTTGTGTCCCCCACCCAGTAACCGCCTGTGACGGGATGTGGTCTGTGCCTCACTTGGACTCACTCCTTTGAAGTATCTCCCTCTGTGGGGGACAGTGTTTCCTTCCTTTACCAAGCTCCCATAAAGCCCCTCCCCTGTTAAAGATTGCCCACATGCGAATCCTGTCTGAGAGCAGGTGGCTTCTTTCTTGTTCTATGCAGCAGAAAGTGCAGTCCAAGCCTGCAGCCCGTGAGCCGTCGAAGCAGCAGCCAGAGGCTGGAAAAGGTAGGCAGCAGGTGGCTCCCAGACGCGCTGCCGAACCGAGTGCGGCTCCCCGCAAGCCGCAAGACAAGGAAGGCTCGACGAACTGGATGGGCTTCCAGACCAAGGCTGAGGTGGAGCACGTGGAGCTGCCCGACGGGAAGAAGAGGAGGAAGGTCCTCGCGCTGCCTTCACACCGAGGCCCCAAGATTCGGTGAGCTGCAGATTGGCTCAGGCCCAGCTGACTTCTCAGTGGCATTTTTTGAGTGAAAGGGATGCTGAGTGCCGTGCCAATCTCTGCAGCGGTGTGGGTATTGCCTGCAGATCAGATGGCAGAGGGAATCTTGGAGCAACCATCTGCCACTCTTCTGCCCTGCCTCCTTGTCTTCCTCCCAGCTGAGGCTGCATATTTGACCTTAATGGGAGTTTCCTTTTGGGGCATCAGATCAGTGCTGTGTTTTTTAAAAAAGTCAATTGTTGCAAAATATTTATTAAATAAATGAAGGTATTTGAGATTCCCATGAGATTTTGAGCAAAAACAGTATTGGGCCTTAGGATAACCTGTGGTGGTATTCCATTTTAGAAAGACAGGACCTGTCCTGGGCTGGGAAAGGGCTAGTGTAGACAAGGGAACCGAACGCCATTTGGTGGAAGGACCCAGGCTGACCCTCGCCATCTTTTAGGTTACGGGACAAAGGCAAAATGAAGGCCCTCCCTCCCAAGAAGTCAAAGGCACAAGCACGCCAGTGGAAGCAAGAGAAGCAGCAGCTTGCTTCTAAGCAGGTAAGTCATGCAGGGCGTCTGTGTTTGTCTGGGTGAGATCAGTGAGCCAACAGCCATGCCCCTACCTCGGTTAGTTGAGCAAAGTAAAAGTTCTTCAGCACTGGAAGAGAAAGGCGAAGCAAACTGCCACCTGTCCTCAGCTCAGAGTTAGACGTTCCCAGGCAGGCCTTGCTGCACCTTTGGAAAAGGACCAACCGCACTTCACCCGGTACTATGGAATGAGACCTGTCGCTCAGGGAAACGTCACAGTGCCCGTCTGGCTGGCCAGGCTTCAACCACTCACCCTCAGTACACCATTGATACCGTCTAATACACAATCATCTGAACATTTCCTCAATGGCCTTGAAAGCGTCTTTCAGGCTTGGTTACTGCGAGTCAGATCTCCCACAGAGTCCACATGCTGTGCTGGTTCTTGCGTTCCTGCGATGCTTTTTCAGTCTGTTAATATCCGCTTGCTGCTCCTCCCACTGCCCCTCTGTCTGCTGTTCATTCGCGCGAGAAGCTGGGTGACTTGCCTTTGGAATGCAATGCATTGTGAATTAGCTGCTTCCCTCCTTCTGTCCTTTCTGTATCAGCTCATGTGCCTTGCCTATCACCTGTGTGGATCAAGAGACTTGATCAAGTTCATTCTTGACAAGAGTGTTTCGTGGGTGGTTCCATGGTTGCCTTCCATGCTGTGTGGCACATCGCACCTGGTTGCCAGTTTGGCACGCCACCAGGGCTAAGCAGTAGACACAGGAGCCGTCTGCCTAGCCCTCCCTGTATCAAGGCCTCCCCCTCAGGCTTCGCCTGGCGGCTTTAGCAGCCCCAGAGTACCAGGCAGACCCACTGTGTCATTACAGGTGGCAGAGTGGTGATTGTCTTTTTAAGTAGCATTCTAGAAAGAAGAACCCTCCCTATTAATCACTCATTATCAAGAGACGGTCTAGGAAAGGCAAGCTAAACGTTGATTCTCTTCATATTCCCCCTTATCACTTTCCAGCGTGAAGAGCTACGGGCTGTCTAGTTTCCAGGGTGAACAAGATTTTTGCTAATATTGTGAAATTCTGAGTTTGCATTGTTTCAGTTAAGTGCAGTCATTGTTCTTGTCCTGTGTTAGGCCAACAGAGGCCCATTCAGGGTGGTTCCTGAGTCTTTTTTTGTTTGTTTTATTGTAAAGTCAAATATACAGAGAAGTGGAGAGACAGACAGGAAGATCTTCCATCTGATTATTCTCTTCCCCAAGTGGCCGCAATGGCCAGAGCTGAGCCAATCTGAAGCCAGAAGCTTTTTACGGGTCTCCTATGTGGGTGCAGGGTTCCAAGGCTTTGGGCCATCCTCAACTGCTTTCCCAGGCCACAATTAGCTGGATGAGAAGCAGGGCCGCCGAGACACAAACCAGCGCCCATACAGAATCCGGGCATGCATGCAAGGTGAGGATTTTAGCCACTAGCCTACTGTGCCAGGCCCCCTGAGTCTTTTGAATATGATCTCATCTTTGATAATGTCCTTGCTTTGAAACTTTAAAAAGTTAATGGAAAAAAATGGAGTTAAAAGTTTATTTTGGTCCCAGTGCAATGGCTCAATTGGCTAATCTTCTACCTCTAAGCACCAGGATCCCATAAGGATATCGGTTCGTATCCTGGCTGTTCTGCTTCCTGTCCAGCTCCCTGCTTGTGGCCTGGGAAAGCAGTGGAGGACGGGCCAAAGCCTTGGGGTGCTTCACCCGCGTTGTAGATCTGGAGGAGGCTCCTGGTTCCTGGCTTCAGATTGACTCAACTCAAGCCATTGCTGCTATTTGGGGAGTGAACTAGTGGGCAGAAGATCTTTCTCTCTGTCTCCTTCTCTGTAAATCTGCCTTTTGAAAAATATTAACAAATTTTTTTAATGTTTGTTTGATATTAAAAAAAGAAACCTGGGCTAAAATCCACACCTGATTTGTCACTTTCCCTGAACTCTTGAAGACTCCTCACACAGTACCTCCCAGGCTCATCTGGATGGCTTCTCTGGTCCTGGCATGAGCCATTTTTGCAAGGAACTCTAGTTCTTTTTAAGAAAAAAATGTGTCTGCCTTCTTGAGCAGGTGAGATCAGGCTTGCTTCTCCTTTTCTCACCTTCCTTTAAAGACAAAACCAGCATTTAATTCCCATCCTATTCAAGAAATCTGTGGGGCCTGGCATGGTAGCCTAGTGGCTAGAGTCCTTGTCTCACATGCGCCAGGATCCTGTAAGGTGTCAGTTTGAATCCCGGCTGCTCCACTTCCCATCCAGCTCTATGCTTGTGGCCTGGGAAAGCAGTCGAGGATGGACGAAGGCCTTGGGACCCTGCACCCATGTGGGATACCCGGAAGAGGTTCCTGGATCCTGGCTTCGGATCGGTATAGCATCGGCCGTTGTGCTCACTTGGGGAGTGAATCATCGGATGGAGGATCTTCCTCTCTGTCTCTCCTCCTCTCTGTATGTCTGACTTTCCAATAAAAATAAATAAATCTTAAAAAAAAAAAAGAAAAAGAAAAAGAAATCTCTGGCGAATGTGTGCCTCTGCTGTTCCAGGGATCCTTTCTTGAAGTCCTGTAGGCAGGATTCTTGGTAAAGCCGGCAAGAATGCGTAAACCCTAGGCCAACTCACCTGGATTGACATTCAGATGACCAGCGGAAGCACTTGGGCTGGGCCGATACCCATCCCCTTGTGGCCTCGCTTCCTGCCGGTGGATAGTTCCTCCTGAGCCTCTGCAAACCCTCCTTGCCTTGTGCATTGGCGTCGGCGCCCACTGGTTTCCTCTCGTGGTCTGCAAGTCAGGTGGAGCTCAGTGATTGCAGCTGATGGTACCTTGTGTTTCCTTTCTCATGTGTAGGTACCTAAGAAGAAAGCTAAGGGAAACAAGGCTGAAATCCACTTCAACCAGCTGGTCGAGCAGTATAAGCGGAAGCTGTTGGGCCCGTCCAGTGGAGCGCCTCTGGCCAAGAGGAGCAAATGGTTTGACAGCTGATGGCGGCAGTAGATTGGACGCCGAGCCGAGCTGTGTCCTTGCTGAAGCTCCCAAGCCTCCTTGCTTCCTGCATCTGTCACCAGAGGAAAGGAGGTCCCGAGGGCACTGCCACCCAGTTGGGAGCCTCCCTGGGCCTTGCACAGCTGAACTGGGGTCCCTCCAGAGCGTGGTCAGTAAGCGATGAGGAATCACTCAGAACCATCGGGATGCTCGTATGTTGTCCGGACTGCTGTGTGAAGTTTTGTCTTTAATTATTGTACAGGTTTGTGCTTTATTCCTCGGATGGAAACAATTGTAAAATATATCTGGAGTGCTGAATTTTTAAGAGGTATATTTTGTCAAGCCCCTTCTATAAATAGAGTTCTGTTTTGCTTTTTAAAATAACAAATTGTCATTTCTAAGACATGAATCCTGTACTATGGTGAATGTTTCTGGCTTGCCCAACTTATTCAGTTATGCACACCCACGTGTTGTATGAGCTGACCAAGTAAGATCGGAGAAAAATGCTTTCCAAGTTAGTCCTGCAGGTGGGAGGTAGGAGAGTCCTCGAGGGCAGAGAGGCCTGGTGGGGAGTGTCTCCTGAAGAGGGTCGCTGCTGGTGCTCGACTTGGGGCCAGGTTACAGTGGCTCTCCAGTTCTGGCCTTGCCCCTCCCTGGACTGCACGGGGGGGGGGGAGGTGGCTCTGGAGAGAAAGCTGGGAGCAGGAGGCCTGGCCTCCAGCCTCATGGCCAGGTGGGCCCCTGGCACCTCTGCCTCTGAGCAAATCCAGTCTCGTTTCCTCATTCACTCCTATTCGTATTCCTGACTCCTTTTTTAGAGGTGTGGAAACCCGGAGAGTGGTGAATATCAGAGACAGGGCATGCATGGTTGTGCTGGCATAAGAAATGGGTTCTGAAGGTCTGTAGTGGGTTGTGCTGGCACAAGCAGTGGGCTCTGTGAGAGATGAAAATCCCTGGGGCTGGTTGCCATGCCTGGGTCTAAATACCCATTGTTATGCGCTTCTGGTAGAAAGAACTCGAGTCTGCTGAGTTTATGTTGTGTGTCATGAGGTGGCAGCCTGCCCACAATAAGCGGGTCAGGACTGTGAGGCTGTGTTGGCACATGTGTGACATTGCAGGGCACTGAGCTGCCAGGACTCTGAGCTCCTTGTGACCTTGACGGGAAGAGAGCCCAGATGTCAGAGGGAGGCAGAGTTTGTCCTGAGGTGATTTGATTGTTGTTGAAACTGGTCCTGGATAAGCAGAGGTGTCGTACTGAGGGGAGTTGAGCAGCAGTTCCTGGGAAAGTGGACTTGGCCGATAAAAGTGGGCTTGGTGTAAAATGTCTTGAATTCTGTGTATTGATTTTTTTATAATGTGCATTCTCCTTAAGATTCTAGAAGGTACTTTGTATTCTCTTCTGTGAGCACTCGAGATTTTCTGTAATGAAACATGAGAAGAGTCAAATGAGTGAAGAGACTTGTATGCACCTGTTTGAGAAGGGGATTCTTGCAATGGAACAGCTGGTGGTAGAGCCGAGAGAGCTACACGGATCCAAAGGCAGCTCTGTGGGGAAGAGCTTGTTAAGATAACTCTCCAAGGTGTGAATGAGTGTGAAAGACAGCAGCGTGGGGCTGTAGCCCCTGGGCACCTCACTCCATGTGAAGGAACTGAGGCTTCAGTGACATGGGATGAGAGACCACCAGAGGGCAGGTGCTAAGCCATCTGCAGACACAGAACCAGGGGCAAGCGGGTGGGGGTCAGCACGGAAATGAAGGCCAGCGGGCCCCGGAAGGGCCCTCAGGGCGCAGGGGGACACATGAGGCCAGTCCTGAGGTCACTGTGGGGTCAAACAGAAACGAGCTGATGCTTACCATCACCTAGCCCAACCATCTGGCCGTAGAGTCCCCCCCCAAAATTGGGGTACCCTGCCATGGCCATACCTGGACTATTACAGAAACTGATTCACACCCCTTGGCTCTCCCGGCTCTACTATCTGGGAGCCTTTGTATTCAGTTCCTGTTTCCTCTGCTGGAGAACTGTTCTCTGACTTTTTGCTTGTCACTGACTTTTTAAAATTTTTGCTTGAAAGACAGATTCCTCAGAGAGAAGGACTTTCCATTTGCTGGTATACTCCCCAAGTGGCTGCAATGACTGGAGCTGAGCCAATCCAAAGCCAGGAGTCAGGAGCTTCTTCCGGGTCTCCCAGGCAGGTGCAGGATCCCAAGGCTTCGGGCCATCCTCCACTGCTGTCCCAGGCCACAAGCAGGAAGCTGGTTGGGAAGTGGGGCAGTCGGGACACAAAAATGGTCCTCATATGGGATTCCGGCCCGGTGACTCAATGGATAGATCCTCACCTTGCAATTGCTAGGATCCCATATGGGTGCTGGTGGATGCTGGCATCACAAGAGGCTGCTTAACCCAGAGCTTCAAGTCATCAGAGGGACCTCTTCTCTTCAGACATTTGCCTGTGTGGTCTGAGCACATAGTGGGTCAAACAGACCACAGTGAACGCAGAGGCCCAGAATTCACAGCTCAGTTCTCCAGTTGGCTCAAGTAGCCAGTTCTTTGGGGCTGGCAGGCACCTGCTAGTGCTGGCCTGTCTACAGTTGTTACGTCCTTGGAATCTGCAGCTTTCTGCATGTCTGGCTACCCCTCATGCAAGGGGCCCTTCTGCAGGATGTTAGCTTGCACAGCTAAGTTTGTGTTTCAATTGCTAATCTATTTTCTTCTTTCATTATTCTTCCTTATTTGGAAGGCAGAGAGATATGGACAGAATGAGAGACAGAGAGGGACATCTTTCATCCACTGGTTCAGTCCCCAAGTGGCCACAATGGCCGGAGCTGAACTGATCCGAAGCCAGCAGCTTCTGGGTCTCCCATGTGGGAGCAGGGGCCCAAAGACTTGAACCAAAGTCTACTGCTTTCCCAGGCCATAGCAGGGAACTGATCAGAAATGTGGCAGCGGGAAGTCAATCCAACACCTATATGGGATGTTGGCACTGCAGGAGGCAGCTTTATTCGTTATTGCATAGCATCAGCCCCGTTTTCTTTGGCATCCAATTGTGAACTAGAGTGTGGTTGTAGACAAGCTTCTATACCAGTGAAGGCTGAAGGACCCAGACGGGGATCCAGCTCTGAGAACTGCTAGGCAACTGAGAAGGCCTTTGGAGCAGCTGATAAATGCAGCTGATAAATGGTGAATCCCGTTTTGCCTGTACTTGTCTTTGCTGCCAGAGCCTGCTGCTTCTTCCCCGGCTTGAACCAGCACAGAATCTCCTCCCTGGATGCTGGACAGAGGGACCCCCCTTCACCCCTTCCTCCCATCCCTGTTCCTGTGGAGGCAAGGACTTCCCACAGACCCTGCAGCCCCAACCTTGGCTTGCTTATGGTGGGGGAGACTCATCCGATGATGTGCCCCCCTCCCCACCCTAAGAAGGGTGTGTGTTCCAGGCTTTGCTGGGTCCCTGAGTCCTTGGCTCAGCTGATGTGCTGGGAAGGGCCCTAGAATACAATGCGACAGGGCGATGACAACAAAGTGCCCTGTGTTTATCCTGCCACACTTTGTCCCTGTCCATCTGGACAGTTCTGCTTATCTCTCATCACTACTTGGACTTGGATGCCACCTGCTGCTTCAGGCCCAGCTCTCCCCTGAGCACCTCCATCATCCTTGGAGCCCTCACTGGGTGGCATTCTCTGCCTTGACAAGGCAAGGACTACTGCCCTGGGTCGTGGCCTGTGGCATCCTGAGAGATTAGTGCTTGGTCGTGATGGAAGCACCAGCCAGTTGGATGTCAGCCGCTTGCCCTCTCCCCAGCTTGTCCTTACCCATTTTATCATCTTCTCACTCAGGCTCAGCCTTCTTTAGAGCTCTCTCGCTCCTATCCCTTTTTGCCCTGTACTGTTGCCTGGGCCTTGGTCCAACAGCAACTGTCCTCAGATGTTGCTTAACCTGCCTCGTGGCCAGAGGCATCTTTCCTGTCCACAGGCTACTGAGGAACGCCCAGATCCTGCACAGGGCTGAGTGGTAAAGGCCAAATGCAAGAAGCCAGGCTCTCGGAGCTGTGGCATAGCAGGGAAAGCTGCTGCCTCCAGGGTAGGCATTCCAAATGAACTTGTGGCCTGGGAAAGCAGCCGAGGGACCCTGCACCTGCGTGGGAGATCCGGCAGAAGCTCTTGGTTCCTGACTTCAGATCAGCTCAGCTCCAGCCATTGTGGCCACTTGGGGAGTGAACTAGCAGATCAAAGATCTTTCTCTGTTGCTCCCTCTATCAGTAACTTTTCCTTTCATATCATAAATCTTTAAAATAAAAATATAAACCCAGCTGAGAGGAAATCCACACTTGCCCCCCTTCATCCCCGGGTTGTCAGACACACCACAGTCTGAGTATGCTCTCCGCTGGAAGATCCTCTAGTGCTGTGCGTGGTGATTTTCCCTTTGGGTGCTGCCACGGAAAGAGTGCTCCCCCCAATCCTGCTGCCTCACCCTGAGGGACAGCCTAGACCATGGTCCTGTGCCACATACAAGTGGCCTTTCTTAGGGCCTGGCGCAGTGGTGCCCCAGATCACGAACTGGATCTCATCTGGGGTGCTCCTGGCTTGTGGTCTGGGAAAACAGCAGAGAATGGCTCAAAGCCTTGGGACCCTGCGCCTGAGTGGGAAACCCATAAAAAGCTCCTGGCTCCTGGCTTCAGATCAGTTTAGCTCCAGCTGCTGCAGTCATTTGGGAAGTGAACCAGTGGATGGAATATCTTTCTGTCTCTCCTCTCTGTAAATCTGCCTTTCCAATAAAAATAAATAAATCTTAAACCAAAAAACTGGCCTTTCTTTCCATTTAAAAAAAAAAATTATCTTGAAAGAGCTAAGGAGAATGAGGGAGAAACAGAGATCTTCCATCCCCTGGTTTACTCCCCTAAATGGCTGCAAGAGCCAGGGCTTCGCTGTGTAAAAGCCAGGAGCTTCTCTAGGTCTCCCAGATGGGTGCAAGGTGCCAAGTACTTGAGTCGCCTTCTGCTGTTTTCCCAGGTGCATTAGCAGGAAGCTGGATCGAAAGTGGAACAGCTGGAACTCAAGGTGGTGTCCATAGGAGATGCTCGCACCGCAGGTGGCAGTTCTACCCACTATGCCAGACTGGCAGCCCCATCACCCCCTCTTAATGCAGATGAAACCAAACCTTCTCTCTCTCCCATGGCCACTGGAGCAAGGAGCAGAGCAGGATCCTCTCTGACCCAGAGCTCTATCCCCAGGGTCTATTTAAGGAACTCCTGTGTAACACTTTTGTGAGAAACAACGAATGTTTTGGGGACAAGAAAATGCCTTCCCCTTTTCAGATTAAATGCATGAAAGTGAAGAGCACTTTCCTTCATGTGTCCTTTAGATGAGAAATCCTTTAAAGCTCCCCTGGAA